TTTTTCCATGTTCTTTCTTTTCTAATTTTATTTATTTATTTAGTTTTATGATTTTTTTAAAAATTAATGAAAACTATAATAATTTATATTATGATTTTCATTGAAGTTCAATTATTTTTCCATATAAGCTCAAATTTAATCTTTTTCCATGTTTTTTATTGTTTCTTTTTTCAATTTTTTTTTAATTATTTAGTTTTATAAATTTTCAAAATTTAACAAAAACTATAATAATTTATATTATAATTTTCAATATTCTTAATATATTTTAATTAATTTAATTATATTAAATATTTATATATATTGTACCTCATATATAATTATTTTTTGCGTCCGCCCTTGTCTACCATGTACCATTAATTTTGAACACAAATCATTAGTACAATACGAAAATTGCTGATGTGGCTAGTGAATTCGATGAATTCTTATAATTTCTATATATATGACTTATGACGCAATCACATTATAATGTTCAAGTGGGACAATACTAGATTGGGAGTGTGGTACACTAAGGCACTAGCGAGGCATTAAATTTTATTTCGATTACGGATTCGGATTGGATCGTTACATAAAAAGGTCGAGGATAGAGAAAATGGTGTGTGCACATACCTTTGAAACATCTGCTCATAACAAATTGAGGTTTAAAAAAAAAAAATTGGAGTCTTCTTCGTCATTGGTATGCCCATGACGTTCTCCAATTTCCTCTCTCCAAGAATTGGATGAAGTGTAATTTTCTGAATCAATTATTAGTCAGGGAAAATTTTCAAAGCCATGTAATTGAAACATAAATGCATTATGTCTTGTGAGTAATAATAACTTTTAATTCTAAACTAATAATATATAGGAGGAATTGTTGAATATGACTCAAAATTTGAGTTAAAATGCAAAACTAGATCCCCTATTGCATGTTTGACAAAAATAACTCACATGGATAGTGAAATTACAATTTTAACCCTTATGACCAAACAAAAAAACGTCAACCTCAATTACTATTTTATCCTAGAGAAGTATACTCGAGAAGTTTAGTAGACTTCTCCAAGAAGTCTACTCTTTAATAATATGTTTACAATTAATTTTAAAAATCATAAAAGATAATTTGATAAAAAAAATTAGATACATAACAACAAATATATACTTTTTTACACCTATTAAAAATAAAATTTGACAGAAAATAATCAATTTAAATCATCATAGATAAATTAGGATAAAAATCAATACTAAGAAACTTCTCGAGTAGACTTCTCGGTTTCTCGAGTAGACTTCTTGGAGAAGTCTACTTACACGATTTTTTTTCTACATATATAAAGAGAGTTTAACCTAATTGTATTAACAATAAAGTCTCTTTTTATCTTAAAAAACGTCTCTCTCTCTTCTCCCTTCTCTCTGGCCATGAATTTCTTCTCCTTCCTCTCTTGCTATCAATATCCTCTCCATCCTCTCTATCTTGCATTCAACCTCCTCTCACTTGCAGGTTATGGTAGTGGTAAGCAAATATGAGCTTTTGTGTTCTTCTTTTTGTTTGCTTTGTGTTCATATAGCAAATCTGAGCTTATTATTATAGATTTGAGCTTATTGTTGTAGATCTAAGTTTATTTTTGTAGATATGAGTTTATTGTTGTATAAATTTTGTAGATTTTGTTAATTTTTTGTTATTATTGCAAAGCTAGATTTTGTTGATTTTTGTACAGATCTGAATGTTATAAATATAGTAGATTATTATTATAGATCTGAGCTTATTAGTTTAGATTTGAGCTTATTATTGTAGATCTAAGTTTATATTTGTAGATCTGAGTTTATTGTTGTATAAATTTATTAGATTTTGTTCTAGATCTAAATTTTTTGTTATTGTTACAGAGCTGAATTTTGTTGATTTTTTCTGCAGATCTGAATGTAGACTTTTCGAGTAGACTTCTCGATCTCGAGCAGACTTCTCGAGTAGACTTCTCGATCTCGAGCAGGCTTCTCAAGCAGACTTTAGTTGCATACATAATTTTCAGAGATTTTAGTTTACTAGTAATTTCTTATGCCAGTTTTAAGATTTATAACTAGTGATCCTTAAATGTTTGTTTGTTTAGAGGGTTATTTTCTATGTAATGTTGAATTGCATTGAATGTTTTGTATCAAATTCCTAAATTATCTATGTTTATCTATTCTACAAAATAGACTTCTCCTGTCTCGAGTAGACTTCTTAAAGACATTAACTTTACATAACTTATAAGTGATTCAAAGGGACATTTTCCCCATTTATATCATATAACTTGTCAACCGAGTAGATTTCTCTTGTCTCGAGTAGACTTCTCATGTCTCGAGTAGACTTCTAAAAGACATTAATTTTACATAACTTAAAAGTGATTCAGAGGGACATTTCTCTTATTTATATCATATAACTTGTCAACCGAGTAGACTTCTCTTGTCTCGAGTAGACTTCTGAAGTAGACTTCTCATTATCTCGAGTAGACTTCTTAAAGACATTAATTTTACATAACTTAAAGGTGACAACATTCGCCCTCCTTTGTTATTCGCCCTCCTTTGCCAACATTCACCAAGAAGCTCACCATGTGTGCAACCATCTCTTAAGAACAACATTTGCCCTCCTTTGCTATTATCCACCTCCTTTGAGTTTATTGTTGTATAAATTTATTAGATTTTGTTCTAGATCTAATTTTTTTGTTATTGTTACAGAGCTGAATTTTGTTGATTTTTTCTGCAGATCTGAATGTAGACTTTTCGAGTAGACTTCTCGATCTCGAGCAGACTTCTCGATCGATCTCGAGCAGACTTCTCAAGCAGACTTTAGTTGCATACATAATTTTCAGAGATTTTAGTTTACTAGTAATTTCTTATGCCAGTTTTAAGATTTATAACTAGTGATCCTTAAATGTTTGTTTGTTTAGAGGGTTATTTTCTATGTAATGTTGAATTGCATTGAATGTTTTGTATCAAATTTCTAAATTATCTATGTTTATCTATTCTACAAAATAGACTTCTCCTGTCTCGAGTAGACTTCTTAAAGACATTAACTTTACATAACTTATAAGTGATTCAGAGGGACATTTTCCCCATTTATATCATATAACTTGTCAACCGAGTAGACTTCTCTTGTCTCGAGTATACTTCTCCAGTCTCGAGTAGACTTCTCATGTCTCGAGTAGACTTCTAAAAGACATTAATTTTACATAACTTAAAAGTGATTCAGAGGGACATTTCTCTCATTTATATCATATAACTTGTCAACCGAGTAGACTTCTCTTGTCTCGAGTAGACTTCTGAAGTAGACTTCTCATTGTCTCGAGTAGACTTCTTAAAGACATTAATTTTACATAACTTAAAGGTGACAACATTCGCCCTCCTTTCTTATTCGCCCTCCTTTGCCAACATTCACCAAGAAGCTCACCATGTGTGCAACCATCTCTTAAGAACAACATTTTCCCTCCTTTGCTATTATCCACCTCGAACTGCCACACTGATTCACTCTTAACCCATTCTCCATAAACAGCGGGTATGTGAGCCATTCTCTGTGAAAAATAACAAAATCCAAACCACATTAGCCATCAAAATTGCATAAGTAGACTTCTCTGAAATCGGATGAAGTCTACTATGTAGACTTTTAGAGTAGACTAAGAAGTCTACTCTTAATAAGCTAAGTATCATATAAAACATGAAAACTCATTCGACTATACCTATAAAATATAAACATGCAAAACTTATACATACGCAAGAAAACTTAATAACAGAAGCTTAGGATCGCGAAAATCTTAAAAATTTATTATATATTGTATAAAAATGATTTTTTTTTAAAAACAAGAAAAGTAGACTTCTCGGATAAAAGTAGACTTCTCGCAGGTTAGTTTTGCAAGTGCCAAAATATTAGTAGACTTCTCTATGAAAAGTAGACTTCTCCGAGAAGTCTACTTTCGTAAGTAGACTTCTCGCAGGTCATTTTTGCAATTGCAAAATATTTGACTTTTTGGTCAATTACAAAAATGACCTGCGAGAAGTCTACTCTGAAAAGTAGACTTCTCCGAGAAATATTTTCGTAAATAAGTGAGGAAGATGAGGATTAGTTGGTCATTTGGATTTCCGAAAATAAAAGAAATTAATTAAAAATAATGGCAATTTCGTGAATAACTGAAACTATGAAGGGTTGTTTGGACATAAAATGGCAAATATTGGAAAAGTGATTTTTGTGGGTTAGATTTGCAATTCAAATCAAATTTTAGGTAATTTTTGCAAGAATCCCTAATATATAAGGCATTGAAAGATTTGAAATGTTTATTTTCTTGTCAATAATATGCAATATATAGATTTGCACCCGGATGGTAATATGAATTTATATTATAATTATACATGTTTAGTCTATTTGAGCATTCATATTGTGGCTTGGCCTTGTGGGCTAGCTAGTGGTTTTCCAGTCAACAATGCTTGGCTTACTTAGGAGGCATTTGGAATACGTTCTGTATTGTGGGAAATAGAAATGGTATTCACCTAAACAAGAATCTGGTTATAATTAAAATTAGAGAGGTTTTTTGTTTTTAAACTGGATTTTGTCTATTTAGTCAGATCTGTTTGACTGGTTCATATTATCAGTTTTGCAAAACACGTACGTAGGCTATCCCATATCTTATATGAAAAACATAAATTGCAAATAGTCTTGGGTTGTATTTGAATTGTGTAATTTTTTCAAATAAAAGAAGAATTATGATTACTAAACTTATGCTTCTTGCTTTTATTATCTTATTATTCCCCTTTTCTTTGACAATATATAACCAAATAACGTTTATTTTTGTATGGTCATTGAGAAAAGATAACAACATCTTCACTTGCCGTTGTCCGAAGTGTCCATTGTCACAGAAAATATGATGATTAGCATGTTTTGATGAGATATGGACTATTGAATTATTTGTTGATATCATAGAAACAAAACTTTTTTTTTTCAATAAATAACCCAACGTTTTTATTTTTACAACATGCCGATATGCGCAAACATGTTTATATTTCTTCATCTATGTATTTCTCCTCGACTTGTAGTTTGTCCGTAGAGTGGTAACCTTAAAACTCATTTTGAATCGATCATCCCATCTCCTAAGTATCCCACGCTTGTGACGCTGTGAGAACCCACATTCAAAGTTTATCTACATTAGAATGCATGAAGCTCTCTCTACTCTTATATATGGATGACTACGTATTAGTATTTTTCCAGTTCATGTAATACTATAATACTATATTAATATTTACGTGGTACGAAGACGAACCTGCACGAGAGAGACCAGAATTATCGTCAGCACCAACATGCCACGAGAAGTAACCAAGCAAACCTCTCTGCTTAGCATATCTCACTTTCGTCACGATGCTCTGATTATCGTCGTACCCTATCCAAGTAGTTCCGGCGTAACAGTAATCTCCGACCACCGTGGAATTATAAACCGTTGTTGCTCCGTTATCCACTATGAACTTCCTTATCTGACCGTATCCAATCGAACCGTCGGGTGATATCGCCGCCCCTGTTGTTGCCGCGTAATAGCTGTGAGCCTGTGACTGTTGGCGTTCGAGAGACGCCACGCGTAGCCGTAGTATGGAAATCCAAAACTGCTTTCTTCGCCGGAAGCCCGGCTTGAGTCCACGACCTTACTCCGGCGTCGCCGCTTGGACCTAGCATAAACCGATTTTAATAACCAAACCAAACCAGGCTAATATTTTTCGTTTTAAACCTTAGGCTCATTCAATTTGTTTCACGATTCCTTAAGTCCAAAATTTTCAAACCGGAATCGTATCAGAGGTTTTTTTTTCTCCAAGAAATGGTAATATAGTATTCCATTTTCTCTAACACGATCCATGCAAATATACGACATGCAGACACACTGTACGATGATTCACCATACCGTATTTATACCATAAGCCTAGAAACAGAACGCGTGATGATCTATATGATTTACAAAAAAATGTTTTTTTGGGTCTAAATGTGAAGAATTTGCGAAAAAGTTGGTGTTAATGTACCAGTTTATTTGGTTTCGTTCGCTTATTGTAGTTACCTGCGTTTGAAGGATCATACAGAGCGGCTGGTGGACCGGTCACTCTAGACCAGCCCGGTCCATAGAAATCATAGGCCATAAGATTAATCCAATCCAAGCTAGCGGCAACGGCTAGAACCGGATACAGTACCGAATAGTAATTGTTGGAGTAGAAAACTGCAGCCGCCAAAAGCAAACGCGGCATACCAGTGCTATTTGCCTCTGCTACAACCGCTGATCGCCAATCACTAAGTAGCGTTCCAAAATTTCTCATCTCAGTCGCACTGCTCTGGTACTCCCAATCTAGATCGAGACCATGGAATCCATTGGATCTAGCGAGTCTAATCGAAGAATCAATGAATGATTTTCGAGAAGTGGGGTTACTTGCCATGGAAGCAAACGCGGTTTTGTTAGCGATTCCACCGCCGATAGACAAAAGGGTTTTCACGGAAGGGTTTTTCCGTTGGACGGTCTGCGTAAATGTGGAGAATTTGGGTTGGTTAGTGGAAGAGATAGTGACTTGATTGGTTTGAGAGTTGAGATCAGCGAATGCGCAGAAGAGGTGAGTGAAGAGAGTTGAGTTAATGTCGGTGACCGGAAATTCACTCTCTGGAAACCAGTACGAAGCTTTGACGACGGTTTGGGCCGAGGAGGAACAAAGAAGAAGAGAGAAGAAGAAGGTTATGGAAACAATGAGCGAGATTGGTGATATCGAAGACATTGTTGAGTTGGTTTGGAAAGTAGAGTATGTGTTTTGCTGTCTATTTATAGAGATCTAGTGTTCGTATTTGAAAATATCTATAAAATTTTATAAGTCAACTTTGAATAATGCATCAACAAAATCTTACGAATTGAAAGCGAAAAGTCTTTGGATAACATTTTATGTGAAAGCTGGGACCACCTGACCAAGTGGCACATAATGAAATTTATGTGGATCCAAGTTGAAAATGTTCTGACATATGTTATAGAATATCCGAATGCTTGCGAGAGATAATTCATTTTACGTATGTTATTTTGATTTCTTGTCCAACAAGAAACCTATAAGTACCATCACTTATCAGTGAGTTCGAAAACGAGAGTTCTAAGAATTGAACCGTCTCCATTGACAAGCTTAAAGAACTTCATAGTTTAAATACACACACAACAAGCAAACATTTTAATTTGAAACCATCTTGATAATTTCTCTTTTATCGTTATTGAAGTTAAACTTGATTTTGGGTTAAGCTTAATTTTGGGTTTATAAAATAATTATTAGTTATTAGATTAGACCCAAAATTAAGCTCAAGTTCTAGAATCTCTAGAAACATCACTAAAAATCATCATCTTTCTTAAATGTTCTAGAGAATTCTATTAGTTAAATATCTAGATAATTCTATAGATAATTCTAGATATTGTAGTTAAAATTCTAGATATTATTGTAGAAAATTCTAGAGATTAGGAGAATGTTTGTAAGATATTTTGTAATAAGTGGAGCCTATAAATAGCCCACTACTCCATCATTTGTAAACAAGAGAAGTTGAACAAATAAAGAAAGAGTGTTCTTCATAAGTTCTCTTATTCTCTCTAAAGTTCCTTCAAGTTTTCTCTAAGTATTCTTTCATCTTATTATTCATACTTAGAGGGTCTTTGTTTCTTTCGGATCTCTCGGGTATTACGGTCTTGGGCTAGTGCTTGACACTATCAGTGTTTTCTTTACATGGTATCAGAGCCATTCTGATCTGGTTCTTTTTCAAGATCGGATTAATTGAGATCTCAGATTTACTCTAAGTATGGAGTCAATGGGTCGCGTTGTTGGGTTGGGAATGGAGATTCTAAACCAATCCAATTACCGGTTATGGAAGTCATGCATGGAGTCATACTTGGTGAGTGAGGACTTATGGGATGTCGTCGGCGGCAGTAGCACAACACCACCAAGGGGAGCTGCTGCGACAGCGGAAGCGACAAAGGAGTGGACACGGAAGAATGCCAAGGCGGAGTTTGCATTGAAGAGGTCAATATCCTCGGGAGTCTTTGAGCATGTCTCAAGTTGCACATCCGCTAGTTCCATTTGGCAGGCGTTAGATCAGTTGTTCAACAAGAAGAATGAAGCTCGGCTACAACTGTTAGAGAACGAGTTGGCGAATGCAAAGCAGGGGGAGTCTTCAATCTCAGAGTTTTTCATCAAGGTAAAGAATCTTCGCTCAGAGATTAATACTCTAAATCCGGAGGAGTCAATTTCCGAAGCACGTTTAAAACGGTATATTATTCGAGGTCTACGACCTGAGTATACACCGTTTGTGACTTCGGTTCAAGGATGGGCTACACAACCTTCCTTGGAGGAGTTCGAGAACCTGCTAGCTTCGCAAGAGTCATTAGCTACGCAAATGGCAGGAGTCAAAATCCATGATGACTCGGGGAGCGCCTTTGTAGCTCGGAAGCAACACAACTTCAAAGCCAAATCCAAATACGATGGTGCAAAGAACATCGATGGACCGGAAGGATCTTCTACTGGAGATAAGAAGCGATTCAAGTGCTACCGGTGTGGAAAGCTTGGGCACTTCAAAAAGGATTGTCGATTCAAGCTGAAGGAGACAAATATGGCAGAATCAAAAGGTCATATTGAAGACGAAGAATGGGGGAAATGCTTCACGGTGGAGGCTGCATCTTCAGGTATATCCACAACTAAAAATCTTGAAAATGATTGGATTGTGGATTCGGGTTGTAGCCACCATATTACCGGAGACGAGAAGCTATTTTCTAGTCTTCAGCGTCATGATGGAAAAGAAGCCATAATTACCGCGGATAATTCAGTTCACCGGGTCGAGAAGGAAGGGACTGTTGTCATTGAAGGAGAAGATGGAAGCCCTATCACCCTCAAGAATGTATACCATGTCCCTGGAGTAAGGAAGAATCTTCTCTCTGTGGTGAATGCAGTAGACTCAGGTAACTACGTTTTATTTGGCCCAAGAGACGTCAAATTCTTGAAGAATATTAAAGAGTTAAAGGCGGATGTGGTTCACACCGGATCGCGGGTTAAGGATCTATATGTCTTACCTGCGTCCAACTCATACGTGGAGAAGATGAGTACAAACGACAATGCCTCTATATGGCATGCTCGGCTTGGTCATATAAACATGACTAAGCTAAAGGTTATGGTGAATAAGGAGTTGGTAAATGGGCTTCCGAAGCTGAAGATCCAAGATGAAGGAAAGCTTTGTGAAGGTTGTCAATATGGAAAATCACATAGACTTCCATTTGACAATTCTACTTCACGGTGCAGTGCTCTGTTGGAGAGGATCCATAGTGATTTGATGGGTCCTACAAGAACACCCTCATATTCCGGGTTTCGGTACATGTTGCTGTTCATTGATGACTTCTCACGGCACACTTGGGTATACTTTGTGAAGGAAAAATCAGAAGTATTCTCCAAATTTCAAGAATTCAAGGTTACCGTGGAAGGGGAGCTGGGTCGGAGAATCAAGACCTTAAGGACAGATAATGGAGGGGAGTTCATGTCCAAGGAGTTTCTCTCTTTTTGTCAAAAGCATGGAATAAAGAGAGAGTTTACTTGTCCGTATACACCTCAACAAAATGGAGTAGCGGAAAGGAAGATTCGACATCTAACTGAGACGTGCAGAAGCTGGCTATATGGGAAGGATCTGCCTAAAGCCTTGTGGGCGGAAGGCATGAGATGCGCAGTGTACGTCATAAATCGGATGCCACTCAGCCCAAATAACATGAAGTCTCCGTATGAGATGATTCATGGGAAGAAGCCGTCAGTGAAACATCTCAGGATATTTGGATCAGTCTGCTACGTCCATGTGTTTGATTCTCAAAGAACCAAGTTGGAGGCAAAGGCGAAGAAGTGCATCTTCGTTGGCTATGACGAACAAAGAAAAGGGTGGAGGTGTATGGATCCAGAGACACACAGGTACGTAGTGTCTCGAGATGTTGTTTTTGATGAAGTTTCCTCATTCTATGGGCCACCTCAAGTTTTAGTTGAGCAAGAAGGTGGGAGTTCCTCCAAGAGTGATAAACCAGCTCTGAGTAAGGAAAAAGGTCCTGAAGAAGTGATGCAAGGTGAAAGGGGGAGCACTGATCAAGAGGAGGATGAGGAGGAACATCATGGTTCCACGGCTAGTTAAAGGGCTAAAAGGGACATCATTAAACCTGCTCGGTTCAGAGATCCAAAGTTTGTTACTACCTTCTCGTGCTACTTTGCAGCTCCATTAGATGAAGATGAGCCAACATCTTATGATGAAGCAAAAGGTGTTGACGAGTGGGAAAACGCAATGAAGGAGGAGATGAATGCTCTCATGAAGAACGAAACTTGGGATTTGGTTCCAAAACCCAAGAATGCCCAACCTGTTTCTTGTAAATGGGTGTACCGGATCAAGCGCAAAACAGATGGAAGCGTTGATAGATTCAAAGCAAGGTTGGTTGCTCGGGGATTCTCTCAAAAGTATGGAGAAGACTATGATGAGACCTTCAGCCCTGTAGCCAAGATGACTACGGTACGTTCTATCTTATCTTTGGCTGCAAGTTTTGGTTGGAAGTTATGGCAATTAGACGTGAAGAATGCTTTTCTATATGGAGAGCTTGACAAGGAAATCCTGATGGAGCAGCCACTTGGTTTTATATCACGAGAGCATCCTGATTATGTGTGTAAGCTGAAGAAGGCCTTGTATGGGTTAAAACAAGCTCCACGAGCCTGGTATGGAAAGCTTGCTCAGTTTCTTCAGTTCTGCGGTTATGTGGCATCAAACTCTGATCCGAGTCTATTCTTCAAGAAGAATGGAGGAGTCCACGTGGTAGTTCTCCTTTACGTGGATGATATGATAATTACCGGGAATGATGATGCAGAAATTACTCGTTTACAAGAGGATATGTCGATAAGGTTTGAGATGAAGAAGTTGGGAGAGCTCAACAACTTTCTCGGTTTGGAGGTGGAAAGGGTAAAGGGTGGAATATTCATCGGCCAACAAAGCTATGCAAGAAGAATCGTTGAGAAGTTTGGAGTACACGAAGGAAAGACACGCTCTACTCCAATGGATGTCAACATAAAGCTTAAACGCGATGAAGGGTCCTTACTACCTGATCCTCGGCCTTATCGCTCTCTTGTAGGAAGTCTTTTATACTTAACCATTACAAGACCTGACATTGCCTTCGCGGTAGGTCTTGTAAGTCGGTTTATGCAGGCACCAAGGAAGCCACATCTAGAAGCGGCAAAGAAGATATTGAAGTATGTGAAGACAACTCTTGGCATGGGTCTGGTGTACAAGTATAATGCCAAGGTCTCTCTTTATGGCTTCACGGATGCTGACTTTGGTGGAGATCTTGATGATCGGAAATCAACTTCAGGCTATGTTTTCCTATGTGGGAACACAAGTGTCTCATGGTGCAGTAAGAAGCAAGCAACGGTGTCGTTATCTACAACTGAAGCAGAGTATAAAGCGTCAACTCTAGCAGCTCAAGAGTGTATTTGGCTTCAGAGACTTCTTGAAGATCTGTTCGAGCCAATCAATAAGCCAATTACAATTTATGGAGATAATCAAAGTGCGATCAAGCTGGCCAATAATCCGGTGTTCCATGGGAGGACTAAACACATTGAGTTAGAGCATCACTTCATAAAAGAGAAGGTGCTTGATGGGACAATTGAAGCTTTGGAAGTTCGAAGCGAGGACAACGTTGCGGATATCTTCACCAAGTCATTACCAAAAGGTCAGTTCGAGTTACTTCGCTCGAAGCTCGGGATGACTGACAAAATCAAGTTTAAAGGGGAGTATTGAAGTTAAACTTGATTTTGGGTTAAGCTTAATTTTGGGTTTATAAAATAATTATTAGTTATTAGATTAGACCCAAAATTAAGCTCAAGTTCTAGAATCTCTAGAAACATCACTAAAAATCATCATCTTTCTTAAATGTTCTAGAGAATTCTATTAGTTAAATATCTAGATAATTCTATAGATAATTCTAGATATTGTAGTTAAAATTCTAGATATTATTGTAGAAAATTCTAGAGATTAGGAGAATGTTTGTAAGATATTTTGTAATAAGTGGAGCCTATAAATAGCCCACTACTCCATCATTTGTAAACAAGAGAAGTTGAACAAATAAAGAAAGAGTGTTCTTCATAAGTTCTCTTATTCTCTCTAAAATTCCTTCAAGTTTTCTCTAAGTATTCTTTCATCTTATTATTCATACTTAGAGGGTCTTTGTTTCTTTCGGATCTCTCGGGTATTACGGTCTTGGGCTAGTGCTTGGCACTATCGGTGTTTTCTTTACAATCGTCGCTTAACTGACATATGTGGTTTCTGATAAAAACCCAACTTCAAGCTTCGGTCATATGATTGGTTCTCTCTTCTCTGAAACCTTTCTTCTCAAACGGATCCCAGTCTCACTAACATGGCGCATAGTAAATCTAAGGGAAATAATGTCTATGAAATTAATGTTAATCTGGTCCAAACTTGCAAATTCTGTATATAAAAATACTGATTCCAGAGATTTACATGTGGATATAAAATATAAAGTTTGAAATCTACAAGAATTTAGTGAATTATTCTTCTTACAAGATACTAGCTACGCCCCACTGCTAGGGGTCTCTTGACAAGGTTTCAAATTGTTACACTGCTTTATTCTACTCTTAATTCATATTAATGTACTACAAAAGAGATAATCAAAGAGGAAACCAGCCAAAGAAGCAAGTATAGAGCCCTAGGGTAGCATGCCAAACTCTCTCATGCCTAAATCAATTCCATAATCACTTGATAAGCCGCTCTTATTTATCAAGATCACAATCAATACACATGTTGATGTGTCATGTGTACTCGATGAACCCTTGTCATTTCTATGTTTTATTCTTTAAGTGGATAATACTTTTGAGATTGACTTTCGCGTATAATATCTAATGTAAAATGAAAAGTCGGACAACAAGTAGCTCTGCAATAATGATGTTGGTGTCGTCTTTTAGGAACAAGTGGTATGTTGTTTGTAGTATTGGGTTTGTGAGTGGTGTTTTTGGGACAAGAAGGGTGACTCTAAATAACCAAAATTCCTTCCAACTTGTGTGTTTTTTTATGGTGTTTATTCTTAATATTTGAGTTTCTACTTATGTTCATATCACATTAATACCGCCTCATGGGGACTCTCTCGATTGCTCCTTTGTAGCCGTGGAGTAAATTCTAGAGCATACCAAAGCCTCCCATATACCATTAATTTTGAACACAAATGATTAGTACAATACATAAATTGCTGACGTGGCTAGTGAAATCGATGAATTCTTATCATTTCTATATATGTCTTATGACGCATCACATGATAATGTTCAAGTGGGATAATACTAGATTGGGAGTGTGGTACACTAATGCGCTAGCTAGGCATTAAATTTTGATTACGGATTCGGATTGGATCGTTACATACATTTGAAACATTTGCTCATTCAATATATAACAAATTGAGCTTTTTTATTAAAAAATTGGAGTCTTCTTCGTCATTGGTATGCCCACGACGTTCTCCAATTTTCATTCTCCAAGAATTGGATGAAGTGTAATTTTCTGAATCAATTATAAGTCAGGAAAAATTTTCTAAGCCATGTAACTGAAACATAAATGCATTGTCTTGTGAGTAATAATAACTTTTGATTCTAAACTAATACTATATAAGACACCGAAAGATTTTAAGTGTTTGTTTTCTTGTCAATAATATGCCATATATAGATTTGAACCCGGATGGTAATATGATGATTATCAGCACATTGGTTAGAAATTTTAAATTATATTAACAATTTATATATGTTTGGTCTATTTTAGACCTTAGGAGAGTTTCATGAGGTTGATCAAGTTGTGATGATTATCAGCATATTGTGGCTTGGCCTTGTGGGCTAGCTAGTGGTTTTTCAGTCAACAATGCATGGCTTACTTAGGCGGCATTTGGAATACTTTCTGTATTGTGGGGAAAAAAATGCCATTGTGGGGAAAAAAATGCTATTCACGTAAACAAAAAAAAAAAAAAAAATGCTATTCATAACATTTAAGAGAATTGTGTTTATTAAACTGGATTTGTCCATTTAGTCAGATTTGTCCGACGTATAGGCTAGCTCATATGTCATATATCTTATATGGAAAACATAACAAGCAAATAGTCTTGGGTTGTATTTAGATTGTTTAATTCTTAGAGGCTAAAAACGATTTGCTATTTAGTAAAAGAAGCATTATGATTACTATACTTATGCACGTATGCTTCTTACTTTTATTATCTTATTATTCCCCTTTTCTTTGACGATATATAACCAAATAACGTTTTATTTTTGTATGGTCATTGAAAAAAGATAACAACATCTTCACTTGCCGTTGTCGAAACAGTGGAAACCTTAAAGATTCTACATGATTCTGGCGGTTGACGCCGCAGCATCCCATGCCCGTGACGCTGTAAAATCCCAAAATGTTCGCAAATATTATTTTTTCGATTCATATATGAAAAAACAGTTATTATGTAGACAAATTGGGAGAGAATCGAACCTGCACGAGATAGACCAGAATTATCGTCAGCACCAACGTGCCACGAGAAGTAACCAAGCAAACCTCTCTGCTTAGCGTATCTCACTTTCGTCACGATACTCTGATTATCGTCATACCCGATCCAAGTTGTTCCGGCGTAAGAGTAATCTCCGACCACTGTGCCATTATAAACCGTCGTTGCTCCGTTATCCACTATAAACTTCCTTATCTGACCGTATCCAATCGAACCGTCCGGTGATATCGCCGCTCCGGTTGTAGCCGCGTAATAGCTGTGACTGTTGGCGTTTGAGAGTCGCCACGCGTAGCCGTAGTATGGAAATCCCAAGACTGCTTTTTTCGCCGGAAGCCCGGCTTGAGTCCACGACCTTACTCCGGCGTCGCCGCTTGGACCTAGAATAAACCGGTATAAATAACCAAAATAAACCAGGCTAATATTTTCGTTTAAACTTTGGCTCATTTTCATTTGTTTTTTCTTAGAATTGAAGTCTAAAATTTTCTAACCGGAATTGAATCGGAGATTTGTTCTATAAAAAAATTGGTAATATCTTACTCAATGTTCTTTAGTACGGTCCATGCATGTATATGACATGCAGACACGGTACGATGATTCACTATACCGAATTTGTACGATATCGTATTTTTAAAGCCCGGAAATAAAAACGCTTGACTAAACTCCTACTCCTATATGATTTACGAAAAAATTGGTCTTAGTGTACAGACCTGCGTTTGAAGGATCATACAGAGCGGCTGGTGGACCGGTCACTCTAGACCAACCCGGTCCATAGAAATCATAGGCCATAAGATTTACCCAATCCAAGCTAGCGGCAACGGCTTGTACCGGGTACAGTACCGAATAGTAATTGTTGGAGTAGAAAACCGCAGCCGCCAAAAGCAAACGCTGTCTACCGCTGCTACTGGCTTCTGCCGCAACCGCAGATCGCCATTCTCGAAGTAGCGTCCCGAAATTGTTCATCTCCGTTGCACTGCTTGGATACTCCCAATCAAGATCAAGACCGTGGAATCCATAAGATCTAGCGAGTCTAATCGAAGAATCAATGAACGATTTTCGAGAAGTGGGGTTACTCGCCATGGACGCAAACGCGGTTTTATCAGCGGCTCCACCGCCGATAGACAAAAGGGTTTTAACAGAAGGGTTTCTCCGTTGGACGGTTTGCGTAAAAGTGGAGAATTTCGGTTGGTTTGCGGAGGAGACAGTGACTTGATTGGTTTGAGAGTTGAGGTCAGCGAAAGCGCAGAAAAGGTGAGTGAAAAGAGATGAGTCAATGTCCGTGACCGGAAATTCACTCCCCGGGAACCAGTATGAAGCTTTCACGACGGTTTGTGCCGAGGAGGACTGGAGGAGGAGAGAGAAGAAGAAAGTGACAGAGACAATGAGCGAGGTTGGTTTTGTGGAAGACATTGTCGAGTTGCTGTGAAAGACAGGATGTGTTGCGTTGTCTATTTATAGAAAGTTGATGTCTTACAAAATTAAATATTTAACGTCTTGCGTAATTCACCTTTGAAAAATCAATGAACAAAATCTTATGAAAGCGAAAAGTCTTGGGGGCAAGATTTGCGTTTTTTTCAACACACAAGTGTAGTACGAATGCGAAAACTTGGACCAGGCGACACATAATCAATCAACTTCATTTATATCGAAGTTGAATTTTCTACTCACGTTTCCTATTAAAATATCCAAATGCAATTATTAAAAAAAAAAGAATATTCAAATGCTTACGAAAGTATTATTTAAATTCAATGTAATCGTATATTATATGGTTTCTTGTCTAACAAGAAACCAGCGAATGCTATGAATGGCAGTATGACTCATCGGTTAAGGCGTCTGGTGCTGACAAGTTCAATATCGAAAACGAGGGTTCCAAGAGTAGAACCTTCTCCATTGGCAAGACGTGTTGGATTAAAGATAGTCGTGAAGAGTCTCTGTCTGTCAAAGAACTGCAAAACACACACAAACACAAGAAAGAAACAAAGATTTTAAAATCAATCTTGTGCATATCTTTCTGTGCAAGCAAGCAATCTTGTGATCTCTTGATAGTTGATATATACTTAGTTTCTGAAGAAATCCATCTTCAAGCATCGATTACATAATTGCTTATTTGAAAGTTGTCATCTTAAAAAAAAATTAAATACTTCTAGTCCTACTTGCCAATACAATTAACATGGTGCATTGTAGACTTTAGAGAGATAAAAAGTCTATTGGGTCTGAGCTTTCTAATTCACCAAACAAAACAGCTACAGAGATTTACAAGTGTATACATCTATATATAAGCTAAGGTTTGAAATCTGAATGATCTTTAAATAGACTTAGCGACTTTGCCCACAAGCTAGCTTGAGAGTGAGGGTATAATTGGGTCTTACAAGGTGCTAGCAAGCCCCATAACTAATCAGCCTAACTCCTACACATGTGGTCACAGGGGTCTCTTGATATGTTTAAAATCGTAATCTGGTTAAGTTCACTCTGAACTGAAGTTCAAAAACAGAGAATCAAAGAGCCTAAGCATAGAACCCTAAGTTGAAAATTCTAAAGCATACCATCAATCACATAATACAACATGGTGATGTGGCAAAACGTATTCGATGAAACTCTTATCATCTCCATGTGTGACTCTTATTGTTCAAAGTGGAAAATAGTAGCTTGGCCCAAAGCTAGTCAATGTGGGACTCCTAACATTTGACTTTCGGATTGAAACATTATCTGAAAAAAGATTGATGAGAGAGAGAGAGAGAGAGAGAGAGAGGTTTACATACGTTTGGTGGGAGAGGTTCTTGTGATGTATTCTGATAGCCCTGCGACGGAGGTATAATCACCCGACGAATCCCGCCTACTCTCATCGACCTCACGGCGGTTTCGATCCCTGGAATGACCTGCACGTCACAGTGTTTCAGTCACCAGAGTAAAAACCGCATTTGGTCAAATGATGAAACAGAGATCAAACGAGCATCACAGAGTCAGAGAAGAAACATGTGAATCCTCATGAAAACCTCATTATCAGCTTCAAATACCTCAAACCCCCCCTAAGAGAAACACTACTTAGAGGCACTAAGTTTGCAAGAACAAACACAAATCAGACTCTCTTTCTCTTCAATGATCAAGCCCAATTAGCAAATATATAAAAAGGTCATGCACACCTTTAAATCTACAATTTTCAGCTGATTTTTTTTTAAAAACCAATGTTACAAAAACTGAACTTTATGGAAACATATAATTTGGGTTATAAGAAAGAAACAGAGAGATAAAAGTTTATACATTGCTAGAACCAAGGATGAAAGTGAAAGGAACAGATTCTCCAGTACTGTCTTTATGATCATATGTTGAATCAAATCTCCACCCTTGCTTCGCAGCTAATCTCCCATAGTAATGTATTGCAATCTAATAAAATAAAATAAAAATTTGAATTTTCAGGGATTCGTTTAGCTGAAATCTCCAATTACAAACATAGACCTGATCTCCTTCGATTGGGACGTCACCATCGCCGACTTGGAGGTCGAGACCCTTAACTCCGCCGGAATTCGGGATTTCAGAGAATTCAGCTAGTGCTGGAGAAGAGAAGCAACCGTAGGCGATGAGGAAAGACGCGACGGAGATAATCGACAGAGATACTGCTCTTCTAGATGCTGCTAATGTCGATGATGATGATGATGCGCAAGAACGAGATGCGCAGATTCTGACAGATGGTGGAGATGTGAAATGGACGGAAGTGATGAAGGGAGCACCTACAGATGGTGTCGACGCGAAGCACCGAATCATTATCTCCTTTTTTGAAAATTATATTTAAAAAAAACTGAAAAAATGAAGGTACATATTCTTCTTGCTTCGGACTTTGGAAGAGTGAGTGGATGTTATTTGATAGGAATAGGATTACGATAGGTGCAGACAAAACTAGTGGAAACAAGAACAATACAAAGTTGAGTTTTGTTTTTGTTTTCGTTTGAAAAAATCTCTTCTTATTGTTTTTTACATCAAGACCATTCTCAGAGACGTAGATCCTTCTATCTCTGCCTGGTCTGATAATCTCCCTAAACAGCTACGTTCTGTTTTCTTTTCTTGAAGACTGGTTGGTACAAAAATATATTAACAAAAATACAATGGTGCCTTTATGCAAACAAAGTTGCTGAACAAAGTGATGATATGCATATTTATATGTTTAATATATGGACCACTTATCCATTTCTTATGGTGATGATATGCGTATAAGAAAAATATTGATCAGATCAAATATTGGGTGGACGAGAAAAGCAGCAAAGGAAACTCTATCACTTGGTCTGTTGACCCCAAGTATTTATTGGACATGGTCTTACAACAAAGAGTCACCAAAGTAAGTCAAAGTTTTGAATTGATCGATTTAGATATAATAAAGAATATGTATGAATTAAAGTTTCCTTGATAAAACTCGACACACTGAACTTTTACCGGTTAAACTAAACCTATGTTACATGAAGGTTTAAGTATGAATAAAACCGTATTAAAAAAAAAGAATAAAAATTACCACAAAATTCTTAAAGTAAAAAAAAAAATCCATAAACTAATAAAGAGAAACTAAATAATTTAGTAACTCTCCTCACCGTAAAGTTTGACATCTTAAACTTATTCATATTTTGGTAACTAAACTTTGCTTTATGGTACTTTAGTATAAACAAATATGAATATATATTAAAAATCGATATATAGTCCTCCTAAGCTAGCTTACCAAGTTCCTTCCTTCTGATTAATGAGTAATTGATATTATATACATGGCATTGTTTCATTATCACCAGCGATCAGCGATAACGATTGTCAACCAAATTATGCCGTTTCATCATCAATATTCAAAAGTTAGGTTCGGCGACAACAACAGATCCTCCATCGGTCTCCCTTTTAATTATATGATAATTAAAAATCTAAAAGTTGATGGCACATATTCTTGCGTTGGAATTTGATGGGATTAGGATCACGATAGGTGCAGCCAAAACTAGTGGAAACAAGAATAAAAACAAAGTTGAAATTCACTCTCTTTTTTTGGTTGAATCTTAAACGTAATATCTCTTCTTTTACATCTTTTACAATTTTATTTTAACGACATTACTATGCATCCAAGAGTGTTTTGGTAGAGTCTAGAGCATGTATAAATAACTTTACATATAATGTTGTAGCTTAGTTTGGATTAGGGGGATAAATAAAAAAAAACTGTTTGTTACAAAAAAAAACTATGATTCAAACACTAGAAAATATGTTTGGATTACTTGCTCTATAACTTTCTGTAAGAGAAATATGTATTTAAGACGAGAAGAAGAAGAACAACAGAAAAACATAAATTTTGAACATTTTCTTCTTCAAATTTAAGAGGACGCTTTTGTTAGGAGTGAAATAAAAAACAAAGTTGAAATCGTATCGAACTGAAAACTTTGATTTTCTATTATAGATACTATATATTAAGAAAAAGTTTGTAAGTAAAACCAAAAAAAGAAAGAAAACAGGTTAGAAAATCAAGCTGAACCGAGAATTCCCCCACTAGGCTATAAAATCAAAAGGAATAAAGTAATTTTCTATTCCAGAGATGCATGATCACACTCTCCCCATAAATGATATCTTTGCTCAACACCCTAGCCGCGCATCCGTACTCCGCTGGAGAGACGATCTCTAATAGCCACTGAGCCACACTACAAATGCAAATCTTGAGCCACATAACATGAGTGAACCATGGCACTACGTGACTATGGGACTTGATCACGATGGGGACGTATCTGTTGCCATAATAGCTACTGTTGGGCCAATTAAGTAGTATATATTCCTCAACCCAAATGCAATTCTAACATTCTAGATAACAATATTCTGCAGATTAAGATGTATATATATTCATTCAAGAAATTCCATTAGTTATATATTTTAAATCAATAAAAAGTAATAAATAATTGATTTTATAATTGAGTATTAGTCCTTACTCAGACACTACAATTAATGAGGAGAAAAACTATTGTGGCGATCAATGAGGAGCCGATTAATTTAACCCGCTCCGGTCACTAGTTAACTAGAATTTATTGATTAGCAAAAAAAAAAAAAAATCCAACTTTGATTATAATTAAAATTAAAATCATAAAACAAAAAAAAACAGAAAAAGGAAATAAAGCATGACACAACAGAATAAGTTCTTCAAACCCCCCTTCCCTAGGGCTATATATATATTTAGCAGAATTTATTTGTCAATCTGTAATAAACCGAGATAACACAAATTTTAAAATAGGTGAATTCATAAATTTGTTAGAAAGAAAAATTGGTCGGAGACATTTACAAAAGAAGATGTCGAGCGACCAGGATTTCTCGGTGACTGTGGAGAAAGAAATGGGGCTTCCACATAACTATGCTGCCATTATCAGAGACGCCGCAGATCCTTCCATCAAATCCTCTGATAATCTCTCTGACAAGTTACGTTCTGGTGTTTTCTTGATGGCCACCAAACTGGTTGGTACTTTTCTCTTTGGTTCTCCAAACATAAATTAGCATAGAAGATATAACTAATGAACTACAGTAACAATATGTAATTTGTTGTAGTGATATATGCACATGAAATATTGAACATAACAAATATTAATATATGGACCATTAATCCATTTCTTGTGGTGATATGCATATAAAACACTGAACAGATCAAGTATTGGGTGGACAAGAGAAACAGCAACTGCTTCATGCTCTTTCCAAAGAGCCTCTCTATCATTTGGTCTGATGATCCAACCTATTGGACATGGTCTCAAAACAAGTAAGATTCTTTTGTTTTTTTGTCTCGTCGATATGTATAAATTTAAACCACATACTATAAATAGTACAACCGCATCATGATCAATTTTTTTTTGGTTTTTAACTTTTTACTTGAAGTAATATATTGATGATCTACAATAAAGTAAGTGTGAATCATATAGTTTCCTTGGTAAACCAAGAATTTTTATTCTATTATAATATTTCTAACACAAATAATTTTAATCTTTTAAAATTCATGATAGGGAGACAACTGTAGATGAGGCGGAGTTGAAAAACGTGTGTTGGCTCGACATCTCGGGGAAATTCGACACGAAGAACCTCACTCCGGGGATTACGTACGAGGTGGTCTTTCAGGTGAAGATAGTGGATCCGGCCTATGGATGGGAGACTCCGGTGAACGTGAAGCTGGTCTTTCCTAACGGTGAGCAAGAACATAAGGTGAGTTTGAGGGACATACCGAGGCATCAATGGGTCGATATTAGAGTCGGAGAGTTCAAGCCGGAGAAAAATTCCGCCGGAGAGATCACTTTCTCAATGTATGAGCATGAGACTGGCGTTTGGAAGAAAGGGCTCGTCCTCAAAAGCGTTGCAATTCGTCCCAAATATGGCATATAAACCATTTAAATATCCATATCCACCAACGGACCTTCTCTAAATATATATTTCACGTCATGCCATATATATATATATATATATATATATATATATGGAGCGTGTGTGTATATATATATGATGAGGTTGATCTATCGTATAATTAGCTTAAATAACTACTTTGATGTTGGTGTTGAATAAAAAATAAAACCGAAAGTTTGATGTTGTAATGTTTCAAGTTTAAATTCAAGTTTTATGATTCGAGTGTATGTAATTAATAAATGTTCCGAACAATGAAAATTTATTACGTATGAGAACATCAGATATTAATATAGACACGGAAATGATTTTTCTTGTTGTTTTAACCAAAAATTGTTCTATAGTGAAATAACACTTTAAAAACGTAATATTTGTATAATAATCTATTGAGGTGACTAGAGTTAGTGATGGAAACTGTTTAGTCTCATAAGAATTCATCTTCACCTTACATACTCTTAAGGAATTTTTATAGTTTCAGGATGAGTTGTGAATACAAAATGGGTGAGTTTGGCACAATGAAAGGAAAAAATCAAACATAGATAAATTAATGGTTTTATAGGAGCTGAAGTTTGGTTTCCTCCCACGTAACATGGTTCTCGATCTTGATTCAAAAGAAAAGAGAGAAATTTCTTATCGGTTCAAAACTCGTCTAAGAGTAATAATTACAGCGTTAAAGGGAAAATGCCATTCACGTTTAACGATTTGACAATAATTTATTTTGGAAAAATATTGGAAGTATTAATTTTTTACGTGATTTGAACGGACGGTCTGTCTATATGCGTCGACTAGGTTCACTTTTTCTTAAGAGTTATCCGAAATTCCATTTTAATGGAGAAATTTGATGAATAAAAAGCTAACGCATCACATGAAAAGAACAAAGAATCAAACTTTGGGTAACAAGACATAAATACAAGAAAATGGAATATATACCAATCAAAATTTGGTTTGCGATATATAGCTTTTTCTTCGTATCCAATTATACTTAACTATAGTCACCTTCTAGACAACAAATACACTAATGAAGAAATCTAATAATAGCCAATCTTTTTCTTTTTTTTTTATCAAGTTGGGGGTACAAGTATAATAGTTGGACTATTTTCGGATAATATGACATAATTTATATATAACATTTTATAAAGCTCATTTAATTTGGATTTGGAAAAAAGTAATGTCTAATAATTACGAAAAGGGATAATACAGATGATATCTTTTTATAGCTCGGATAGGAATACGTTAAGCAAATGAGTAAATGAGTTACGGAACATACAGGTCGGGTACGGTCTAATTATGTAAGCCTAGCGGAAACAATCTCTATAAAGACCTGCATCACTGCATGCAGTAGTTAGTCAGAGTACAAACTATGAAAGAAGAATAAAACATATTTATAGGAAGAAGATAAAAGATATAGTCAAGAAAGAGCGAGATCAAGCAATGGGAATAACATCGTTAATCTTGTCAAAGTCAAAGCCACCACATATCTACGAAGCCATACTACAAAATGCAGACTCTTCTCTTCCTCCTGATACTGCTCGATGGCGTTCTCTTGAAGCACAAGAAACAGGTCGTCGATCTTTTTATATAATAGTTATATATACATATGTATATGTGCACATCAATTTGATTTCATTGATGATCAAATTTCTAATTCAGAAGTACTGGATCGAGGGTAAAGCTAAGAAGAACTGCTTCATGTATGCTAGAGATCTCACGATTTCATTGGCTGAGTCTCAAACAGATAATAATTGGAGTTGGTTTTCTGATCTAGACCAAATATCCAGGTCTGAATTTTGTGATAAAAAAATGTATTTCTTTCAAAATCTTTAAGATTTCATTTCATGCTGTATATTAATTTCTTAACAGTGGTGCAAGCATTGAGGTTGCAAAGCTGGAATGGGTAGCTTGGTTAGAAGTGGTCGGAGTATTCGAGACGGAGAACCTAACTCCCAACAGTTTGTACGAGGTTGTGTTTGTGGTTAAGCTAATAGATCCTGCGCAAGGATGGGAAGTTCCGGTCAACTTCAAACTAGTTTTACCGACCGGTGAAACCAAAGAGCGACAAGAGAACATGAATCTGTTAGGGAGAAATCGGTGGATGGAGATTCTGGTCGGTGAGTTCAGGACTTCGCCGGAAAATATCTCCGGGAAGATTTGAGTTCTCAATGTATGTGGTTAAAGGTGGATTATGGAAGTCCGGTTTGGTTGTGAAAGGTGTTGCTATTTAACCCAAGAATTAAAAAAAATACGAATCGTGTAAAGCTTAAACAATATGGAAGACGAAAGTTCTTACTTATTATTATGATTGATCAATGTACACGAGGGGTGAGAGTTATTTGGTATATACAACAGACACAGAGACGCACTTGACGACACATTACAGAGGTAACAAGACTTTTTTATGCATCAACAGAGACACTTACAGCGTTGAGCTCCACATGTTGTCTACCATCGTTTTGTGGATGAACTGTTAAGGTTGCACGAGCTTCAGCTTGAGGATTTTCATCACTCCCGGGTCGAGAGACTGATATGGAGCTCACGGTCGACTCAGCTGTGCCATTATTGTTGTCGCCGGCTAGGATGTCCCAAGATTCTTTCACGGAAGCAACCTCGAGCCCATTCTCATGGTGTTCCTCCATTTCGAATGTGGTGGGAAGGATGACGTAATCGTTTATTGGGTTGTAGAACGGGTCGGGTTCGCCCACATTTAGCCATTGTTTGAGCATTCGGAAGACACGGTGGTCGTTGAGAATTCCTCGGTGCTCACCAGGGACTCCAACTCTAGCTACTGCCTCAAGCCCATCCGCCTAGAAAGAAACACCCAAAGGAACCGTTAACTAAGAGAAAATGACCAATTTAAGAACTTCTGAGAAACACAATCATGCAACATACCATGGCAGATTCCACCGGGACTGTGCCATCACCGTCAACACAAATATACGTTGGCTGCGAGTACAACAGAAGGTTAACTAAGATAATTTCATAGCTTGTACCTGAAAAAGGATGAGAAAAATGTGTTACCTGGAAGTATCTCAGGTTCGTTAGGTCTTTGACGGGCATGTTCTCATTTCCATAGCTGTAGAGGAGTATATATATTTCAAATTTTGAAAAGGGAGAACAAGTTGAATAAACACAAAACTGAGAACTCAAATCAAGAAACATTACCAAACACTGTGAGGGGTTTCCAAATTGGTTCCATATATGTTATAGAATTTAACTTGAGAAGGAAGCTTGGCAGATTCCAATACTCTCTTGGTTTCGTGAGCCCACTCCATGATTTTCCAGTTAAAAGGAAGATCGATGGACTCTCCACAGTAATCAGCCTGAAAATTTGTGTGGAGCATAGGATTAGTCGATGCAACAAGGTCTCTGCGTTTACAACTACGTCATTAAATGAAAGGTGTGCAACTTACTGTATTATTCGAAAGAGATTTCGTAAAAACTTCAAGGCTTTCCAGACTACGGTAAGACTCAAGAACAACACCAGGCGTGCCAACTCCATCATTGCTCTGTTTCTCTCTCCACAGCTCTAAAACGGGAGGGAGTTCCCATTTGAAATACGGGCAACACATAAGCTCATATATGGATGGACACTCAATAAGCTGAAACAACAGAAGAAGTCAGGCAAAAATTATGTCAGCCCAATAACATTGCAGAAAAAGTAATATTAAACAAACAAGAGTTATAACCAAATATTGTTAAGATCATTACCAACTGATGCATGCTCCACTTAGAGACGAAAAAGTTCTGTTCCCAACCATTGACAAATGACATTCCATTCAGTAAAGTCGATGTGATATAGCCAGGAGCACCTAAATCAATAATGTGAAACCAATCAGTCGTATAATTGACTCAAGTACACTCAGAGGTACTACAAGTCCGAGAACTTACCTCGAAATGGAGCAGCAATAGCAATCCAATTCTGTACATACTTCTCGAATATCTGACGATAGTTGAATTTTCACCCAAAGAAAAAAGTCAGACAGAGATGAGAAGGTAACGTTAGAAAAAAGACTCATGAATCACAAAAAGAGGGATTATATATATATATATACATCACTGTGCAGACCCATGAAACATTTCACCAGCAGTCCTCCCATAGAATGACTAATAACGTTAATCTTCTTCTCTCCTGAAGCTTTGTAAACTGATTCCAACTTTTTAGCAAATTGATCCAACGTTTCCTGCAGTCTATATAGACCAAATGCAAACAATAAAATACTCAATACACCAATCAAAGTTTACTCAAAAGCCTTAAATCGAAACCAGAAGAGATATGCTTCTCTACCTGTTGCTTTGGCGGAAATCATAACCAAAGCCAAAAAGGGTTTTCCCTTCTTGGAATCCCCACCCAAGCATCTCAGCAATCATCTCATGGAAATAGTACACAGACTCGCGGCCAACAATCTACAAAGAGTGTTGATTGATCCCAATGAGAAAAAAAGATCTTTAAACAACAATTCATTAATGGCTCTCATGAACCGAACAGCTGGAGATTAACATTACCAAATCTGGGTCTAAGACATCAATTGCAAGGAGCCCAGCTCTGTCTTGGGGAACCTCAATAGTCGTTTTTGGGTCGAGAGAGATCGTTTTACCTGTTTCAGATGAACGGATTAAGAGAGCTTAAACAAGCAAAGCTGATGATTTTTTTCTAAGCAAACATATCTTTACCATAAGCAAAAAGCCAAATTACAGTCTTAATTTGAACTAATTGCAGTGTTTATGAGCTAGTTTCTGGAAAATCAATCAAACCCAAATCAAATAGCAAAGCAAAAAAAAAAAAACCCCTAAACACGAGTGATCAAATGCGGAAGAGAAAAAGGAAGACACTTTTTACCAGTTGAAGGATCGAAGCGAGACCACATCTTTGTTCGAAACTCATGATCGGCACCGAAGATCCTGACCCAGACCCGCTCTTCGGTCCCCTTCTCATGATCAACGGCGTTGAGAATCGAGCCAGCGATTCCGGGAACAAGAAGAACCGGGTCTAGAGTCGGGTCAACGTAGGGTTTCTGGTTCGAATTCTTGAGCCTCAGAAAGGCCTCTACTGATCGAATGATCTCTTCCAGCAATAAAGCCATTGTTGAATCGACAGCGCAGTTAATTCAAAGGTGAGATTGAAGAAATCCGTAGTACCCAATTTGGGGAAATCTTAGGGTTGGTGAGAAATTGTGGATTGAAGGAAAAGGGTCAAAATAAAAAAGAAAACAAACTTTGGAATATAAGCCGTACAAGTTAAGGAGGGAGAAGAAACTGTTATGATTATCGAACAATCATATATATCATTCGGAAAAGAATTATTTCTCAAATGGATAAGGCAAGATTGAAAACTGAATAATTGAGACTCCCCAAATAAAATAAAAAAATAGTACTAGTATTTTAACTCATCTGTAGAGTTTCAAGATATACATATATATAAATGGGATATGTATTTCAATACTTAGTTCCAAGGAAAGCTAAAGTGTTCTCTCTCTATTCTCTAACACGTAAGTTATTTGGGATTATTATGTTTATGTACATGGCAGTATGGCACATGGTCAAATTCATTGAGACCCAATTTTGTTTTTTTTTTTGTCAAATTTGAAATTGTAACAGAGTATTAAACAAAAAGCTTTTATTTTTCCTAAAAACTTTAGCACTCGACATCATTTACGAGTATTGGTGAACGGTGAAGATGGTTGTTTCAAATTTCTGAAGACACAACTCAACTCAAGTGTGAAAGATTTCTTTTTTTTTTTTTGCGAGAAGAATTTGTATCGATCATGAGGCACATAATAAGTGATATTTGTTTATTTCCTTTCTGTTTCAGTGAAACCCAATTTCTCGCATTTACATACCCCTTCATGCATTTCAACAAAACCCAATTTCTTGGATTTTTGGTTTTCCATGACATCTCTAATCTTTGGAAAAGAAAGTCTCAGTGACCAGAATAAGAACACAAAATAATGAATCATATTCGTTACAAAAAAAGGATTAGATCAACATATCCAAAGAGAAATACTAAATTTTTGTAGCTAGTTTGACAAAATAAAGCTTACATGTTCACAAACGTGACTGTTAACCTTAACTAGTTGATCTCCCTTCACTCTTGTTGTGTTCTCCCCTTTACCTCCGCTTCCTTCTCCTTTCTCCAACTGGTCAAGGAAACATGCATATTACAAGGGAGAACAACACTTTATAATCTTCAGCTTTGTCAAATCGAACAGAAGAAAAACGAAAAACGCATAAACTTTTGCAATAAACTCAAACTTTCTGTTGACTTGGCAAAAAATTGATCCATATATATATGTGCATGCAGAGGAGGAATAAGAAAACCAAACATGGGTCCATTTTTCCTAAAACTTGAGGATTCAAAGCAACCAATTTTATCTATTTATTTAGATCCTACAAGTAATGTTTTAATTCAAAAGCATAAACTTTTACGATGAACTCAAGCTTTCTGTTGACTTAGCCAAAACTGATCCATGTATATGTGCATGTTGCAGACGAAAAAGAAGAAGAAAATCGGTACCTTGGGACACAAGTCAGTCAAACCGAGACAACGAGACAATGCAAGAGCGTTAATCCTATGGGGACAGTTTGCACAGCATCAACCCACTCAACATTTCCCCAAACCTCACCTCCATCACGCTTCTCGACCACGATTTGCGCACACCAAATCTTCATCATACCTTCGTGATTATCACTCGGACTCGTACATCCTTCCCAAATAACTAAGAGTTTCCCATCACAACTAACTACTTTAGCGGCATGACCATTTGAGCCACCATTCCTCTTATACAAATCTCCTAGTGAGCCTAACCCTTTCACTTCTTTGCAACCACCATCCTTAACGTCATACCACCAGCACCCATAGCTACGTGGCCTACCAAAGCGAACCTTGCGGCCATAGGAGTAGCATACATTCTCCATCACCACGGAGTTCGAGCTCGGCAACGTTGCAAACGAGCCTTTACCGGATTCCCATTTACCTTGCCTTGTGTCGTAAGCATGCATATGGTTTGGATCACCAAAGATAATCTTCCCTTCCATCTCTGCGATGCTTTGATTGTGAATGGTCCACTCGCGTACCTTAGCACCAGGGTCAGTGAGGCCTTCCCAAGTCTGAGTCTCTGTGTCGAATACCTCACCCCATGGTTGGTCTTCCTCTAACCCTCTGCACCCTCCCATTACGTAGATTTTTCCATCGTAGACACATGCTCGTGCATGCTTACGGGCTACGTTCATGCTAGGTGCATCGCGCCAAGTGTGACTGCCACAATCGAGGACCCGCACGGCGGAGGACGGTGCTTCCTTGGCTGGTCCGCCGATTACATAAATTTCTGAACCAAACGCTACGGCGGTGTGAGTTGCCAGCGAAGGAAGATCAAAACACGGAATCGGAACCAACAACCGTCCGGTTGTCTTCTTCTCTTTTTTCTTCTTAGCCATGGAGTCAGGTCGGGTTCGATTAGGGTTGATCCAAAGTCTAAACCATCGGGTACGCTTATAACTGAAATCGAATAGACAGATATAGAGGCACTGCTCGGTGTTTCCGAGGTGATATCGCGCTGCGTAGATCTCGGTGGAAGAGAGAACTGAGCGGAAGCTTTTTGAAACGATTGAGAGAGTCGGATACTGCCACCTCGAGATCCGGGCTAAGAAATTCTCGGTGATTTCGTCTGGAAGTAAAGAAAACGACGGAGACGGAGATGGAGGCGACGAGTCCTTCTTCTTCTTCATGTTCGTCCTCTTCTTCCTGCTCGTCTTCTTCTTCTCTGGTGGTTCTACTTCTAGGTTCATTGCGGCAGTGATTTTCTTTCTTTTTTTTTTGAAAACTGAAAAAATAATATTAGGTTTATATTTGGTTTATTAATAACAAAACTACCCCCAAATTAATAAAATACTACTCCCTCCGAGCTGTTTTGCTTAACCATTTGTCCTCTACTTTGTTTTCGATCACAGAAGCCCCTCACCTGACTCTGGCTCAAGATAACGGCCGGAAAATCCGGTTGTGGGAGGCTCGGTGGTAAAAAAAAGAAAGAAATGAGTTCAAAAACATTGTTTTCAACCGTGGATGTTATTAATTAACATGATAAACAGAAAAGCTCTTATTGTTTTGCAAAATATATAACTCAACATCACTTGGTAAAAAGATGGTTCAAACTTTCTGAAAACAGGAACTCAACGTGTGAAAAGACTTGATCTTTGAAGAGACATACTTCATTTGGAGAATCTGTGTCGATCATGAGGCGAACTGTAATCGATGTTCGGTCCATGAGGGATGATCCCGAAAGGGTTGATCGAAGGGTGGCTTCCGTAGTAATGCTGCTTGATGTGATTCATGTCCACAGTACTATTCATACCGGAGACTTGGAAAATGTCTTTCGTGTAGTTGAACAGATTCGGATACTCCCTTAAGAGTTTCTTGTTGCACTTGAAGTGAACCGCATAAACCTGCATCGATGTTTCAACATTACACAGATTTGTTATCTTCTTCTTGATTTCAATGTTAGAGTGATGAAATAAGGAACTCGGATCAATTACCTCGTCGAATCTTATAAGTGTGACAAACAATCTGATATCTGCTTCAGTCAAAGTGTTGCCACAGATGTACCGATGCTTTCCAAGAATCTCCTCGCATCTATCTAACGCTTCATACACTTGCTTAACTGCCTACAAAGAAAGAACCATACAAAATTCAAAACTCTCATTTGCTACAATAATAGCTCTTTTACTGTTTTATCTCAATTACCTCCTCGTAAGGTCCTTGTTTCTTTGCAAATCCGCATCTATAGACACCATTGTTTATCCCATCGTAGATCCATTCATTAGCTTCATCGATTTTACCTTGGAGGTGAGAAGGGTAAAGATCGAGCTCAGGGTTTCCCGCAATATGATTGAACTCGGTGTTGAACATCCGGATTATTTCCGCGCTCTCGTTGTTCACAACAGTCTTGAGCTTCTTATCCCACAGAACCTGTCACCAAAACCGAAACTCACACCATCTAGTTCCGACTTAAGTAGACTTCAAAAAGAAGAAACTTTCGAGAAGCAACAAAGACTTACAGGAACAGTATACTTCCCGGTGTAATTGGGGCTAGCGATCTCATAGAGCTCTCTTACACTCTTAGCACCATTAAGATGGTCAGGATCAGCTCCTTCAACATCAGTACTTGAGTCCGGGAAAACCCATCCCATATGCTCATCGCTTTCTTTGGTTCTTCCCCAAATGGGTTTTACAGACTGATGGAAACCAAAACAAAGAACAATTCGATCAAAATACTGTCAAGAAATGGTATGGTTCTGCAATGTAAAGGGTGAAATCAACGAACCGAGAAGCTTATTGCGTCGTCGAGTCCTTTGATCTTCAAGTATGAGAGGCATCTAGAAGCCCATGGACAAGCATACGAGATGTAGAGATGGTACCTACCGGATTCAGCTGGAAACTGAGAATTGGAATCTCTTGAAACGAAGTTTCGAAATGTCGATGCGGTTCTCTGAAAAGCTCCGGAATCTGATGTCTCATCAACCGCAGATCGAGCCATTGATAGTGTACTCTGATGACAAAAATCAAAAGCAGAGGATCATCAATTTTCAGTTTGAGAAACAGAGGTTCATGGACAAAAACGGAAACAGAGGCTCATCGACCCAAACGGATTCAAAAGTTGGAAACTTTTAGCTAGAAATCAGTTTTCTTCCACAAAAAAAATTAAAACTCTCAGAATTTGACGCATCTCCCAAACAATTCTCAGATCAAATAGAAACCCAGAAAACTTACAAGACTCTAATACAGAGAGAAACTAGAATTCGGAAATTAAGGAAATTGGATTGCAGATGATGTTTACCTGAAGACGAGATCCACGAGTAGCGAACTTTGTAGCGAGAGAGAGGAAGCTGTTGTTGCTGATGATCGTGGAGTAAGACATCAACCAGCTTCTAGCTTTTTCGTGCTATTTATGATTCATATAATCCAATTTATATAACATAATCCAAAAGGTTAGAGAAGAGTCAGTTTTGGCGACGGCGTATGTCACTGCTTCTGTCACGCCCACTAACCGAGTCACCTGTGATCATTTTGGATCGTTTCGGAGATGAAATATTCTATAAATAGTACACACCTCATATAAAAAAAGCAAAAAAGTTCACATCTTTCTACTTAATTAGTATCCAGGTCTCTGTTTCATGTTAACAACTTCTTTCTGATACTTTTACAATGGTAAGAACTTAAACAGCGATCAATAAACAGGATCAAACACTTCTAGAATAATGGTTTGATTCGAACGTATAAGGCTGGAATGGCCACAGAACGAAGAAGAAAGGACTTGTGTTGTTCAATGACGGTATCACAGCCATTTCTTGGTGATAGTAGTCGAAATCCCTCTGATCAGAATATCTTTACAGAAAGTAACAACATTCAATGTCCTTATCTCACTTAAGAGGTGAGCAAAACAAGATGATCAACGCGGTTGCATTCCACGGTTTCTTGCTATTCAAACAGAGATCATGAAGCAATTGAGTAAGACACAGCAGCTTTGGCGTTTGCACAAACTTAGCCTACTCCTCTGGAGATTCTCTGAGTCAAATCAGCGACAAGCGTGTTTTTACCAGACTCAGAACAAGCTGTAGTGAAAGCAGCCAAGGTAACACGATCAGCGTTACCGTCTTTCTCCAACAACTTCTGAAAGAACAGAGCAGCCACACCTACTTTCTTCTCGCTACACAGCTTTCTCACAAGTGTCCTAACCGTTCTAATCCACAGCTTCTTATCTAACTGTCCCAACAGCATCATTGCATTGGCTGAATCGTTCCTCTTACAGTACTCATAGGCTAATGTGACCCGAGTTACCTCAGAAGGAGATATACCTTTGTCAATCATCACTTCGTAAAGCTTACAAGCTTCATCTACCATGGACTTCTTGCAGAGACCGCTTATTAGTGAGCCATATGTGAAGCTATCTGCAACACAGCCATGCTTCTTCATATTGTGAAAATATCTCAGAGCCATATCGATATCACCTTCCTTACAATACCCGCTGATCATGGACGTATAAGTCTCCTTCGTTGGAACCAACCCAAGACTTACCGCTAACTGAAAAAGCTTTTCACTATCTTTCATTTGCTTTTGCCTACAAAATGCAGCTATCAATATGTTATTCAGACGCATATCGGCTTCAAAGCCAGTTTTATTCATCCGACAGAAAAACGCAAGAGCTTGCTTAACGTCGCTTTGCTTACACTGTTCTTGAATAAGAATAGTGTAAGTAACTCCATCAGCTTCTAGTCCACATGAAAATGCTTTGTTCAGCAACTCATAAGCCTCAGGTGCCCTTGATTTCTTACAGAGACTATCTACAACCGCGTTATACGTATAAATATTCGGCCCAAAACCTTCATCTCCCATCAAATTCATCAACTCGTACGCTCTATCAAAGTTTCCAGCTTTACAGTGACCATTGATGAGCGTTGTATACGTGTTCACGTTAGGAAACAATCCCTGCTCTTTCATTCTGCTAAACAACATCTCTGCACGGTTCAACTTATCTTCTTTGCAATACCCACCAATCATCGAAGTATAAGTATGCACATTGGGTTTGTAATTATCACTGCGAACGAGTTTCAGGAACAGCCTAAACGCCTTCTCAGTCCATCCTCTTTTACACAGCCCATCAATCAAAGCTGTGTGTGTATACACATTTGGCTTCCAACCATTTCTGACCATTTCCTCTAACATCTCAAAAGCCTGCTTGATACTCCCTTTCTTGCATAACCCATCAATCAAAGACGTAAAATTGATCAAGTTCGGCTTCAACCCTAAATCAATCATCTTACGGAAATACCAGATTGCTCTGTTCACTAAACCATTCTCACACAAGGCACTAAGTATCAAGGTGCATGTAGCGTTATCCAGAACAAATCCTCTTTGGATCATTCCGTTTAGCCACCTATCACCTTCCTGAATCTTACCGTCTCTGAAACAAGCAATAACCATCAGCTTATAAGAACTTGAATCCGGAGAAACCCCTCTCACAGACATTTCGTCGAACGCGTTCTCTGCATATTCTATCAACCCCGACTCTATCGCAATCTCGAGAACGCAATTCAAAGTTATCGCGCTAGGTGACAATCCCTGGTTCTGCATATCCATAACCATACCAACAGCTTCGTTTAGCCTCCCGATCTCTGAGAAATTTCTCAGCATACATCGCATTACCTCATGAGCTTTCTCCAGATTTCCGTTGGCAATCAAAGAATCAGCTGTTACGAGATACAGTCTCATGAAATGCCGGAACTTTTCGAAACCCACTGACCAATAGAAGAAGCAGAGAGCCACCATTGAACCAGCTTCGCTCGCGAGGGAAGCCACCACAGTGATGGCTTGCTCGTGGGTAAGAGAATTGGCATCGAGGTCGAGGTTGACCCGGTGTGGGGATAAAACGACATGGGTTTGACGAAGATATGAATGACAGACCAATGAACAGACCGATTTAACAAGAGATTGAGAAGGTGAAGATGACGGAGAAGGAGGAGGAGGAGAAAAATCACCGGATTCGTGGTCGAAAGAGATCAATCTGAAGAAGAAAAGGGAGCAGAGAGAATTGGGTATCTCAGATGGTCTAACAAGGAATCGATTCGACTTAGCAAGAAGATATGCCATTGAAGAGTTAATGGCTCGTCCTCTTCTTCTACTAACTCTTGCATAGAGAGAGAGAGAGAGAGTTATGACTGACAAAAATCTAATCTTTTTATATATAAAATGGTTTGGTTTTAACAAAACAGAGCTTTATAATACATCGGAGCATCGTATACAACTATGATCAAGAACTCTAGCCACGAGGCTCTCAGGTTCAGGGATCAGAGATGAAGTCACGCTGTTCCAGAAATGGAACGTTAAGGACTCATTGATGATCTTCTTGAACAATCCCTCTTGCTGCGATTTCTCATCCTCTGTTGCAGGATATGCAAAATAGCTGCTCCACCAAAATCAACACAAGTTTAAAGTCAAAACCTTTGCTCAATCATGAAACTTGTCTTTGCCTTTGACAGAAACTAGTAGAGAGCGCTTTACCTCGTTATCTGCTGTGAGCTGATTGGGAAGAAAACAGAGAACGGTCGAATGTTCAGCTCTTGTTGAGTCATACGCCGATTCTTCCCGTTCAGAAACCGTTTAGCCACCCGAGTCAAGAGATCAGCTCCGTTGCATCGCACACACTTGTCATCGTATGTCAAGTAGTATTCATTCAAACATTCAAGCAAGAATGAGCTGCAGAGAGAGAGAGATTTAAAAGTCAAAACGTTAGACAGAAACATCGGAGGCTACTGAAGACAGAATCGTTGTATCGACTTTCTAATGTAGAGAAAAGCATTGATTTGTGTTTAATGAACCTTTTCTTTTCGAAGGACATAACAGCACCGTTCAGGGATTCACCAGCTGCTTGATCCTCCACACCGAGAGTGTTTTTCAGTGAGGACAAAGGACCCAAAACTATCACATCAGAATCCAGATAAATCCCGCCATATCTGCATAAAAAATGCAATCACAAAGCGATAAGAGACTGCTCAAATTAGTTAAGAAAGAATTTAGAGAGTGATCAAGATTTTACTTATAAAGGGCAGCAAGCCGAACAAGCTCACTGTAGTGAGTAGGATAAAACTTTGTCTTTCTCCAATCGAACCATACAGAAGCAAATACGTGAGTAGGAGTGTCCCGCAGCAACTCATCGAGATTGGGCATTGCGACTGCAACCTTATAACTGCAGAAGAAAAACAGAGGAATGAATCAATCAAACCCTCACTACATGGAGGAGTACAGAGGCAGCATTGGTTTCATTCACTAACCCGTCTTTCACAAAGCTGTTTCGGAAGAAATCGAGCTCGACTGTCTCCGAGAAAACCACAACACAAGCATCTCGATGCTGAGAAAGTAAGCTCTCAAGCCCTCTTTGGTGCCTAACACTAAACATCCAACCAGGTGAGTTCCACACCATAAACACTCTCACAGAACATTTCTCGTTTCTGAAAAACGAATCCATGAAGTCCGAAAAAGACAAGCTCGGTTCCACTCCAGGGTAATACCCCCATCTCGTTCCATCTGCATACATATGATCTCTGAACTCATCATCATGCACCACATTCTCCACTTCCTTTGTCTCGATTTTCTTATCATCATCTAATGTCTTACGTTCACCACTCTTGATCTCACTCTTCCTATCATCAACACTATTCTGCAACCTAATCCCTTTTCTACTCTCTCTAAGCTCATTTGTCTCTTTCTTCTCTGCAACACTCAATGGCTTCTTCGCCATGAAAGGGTTTCTCTTGATCTCACTCAACCTCCAGTTCAGCACAACCTTATCCCCTCTCGTCAATGTAGTGATCCCAACCCCATCAGGATCCTGCAACATCGGATTGTTCAATGGATTCAACGTCTCAATGTTCGACTTAAACATCCTGTCTCTCCTCAAGAAATCTCCTTTCTTATCAAACCAATCTCCCCAGCCTTCTCTCAATGGCGACACCCTCTTGCTCGATTTCAGTAGCAACGCGTCTTCCACGCTCGAAACCTCCACGATCTTCCTCCGAATCGATTCGTCCAGAGGAACATCGTCAGATCCAAACGCAGCTCTACTCTTCTCCACCGAGCTCGAATCATCAGAAGCGGCTCCTGATCCGATACTGAAACCTGCGTAGTCGTAATCCCACTCGTCGATCGATCGTTTATTGAAAGCTCTTCTGATGACTCCGGTAACGTGATCGAAGTAAAACCCAGTACAGGAAGCTTTATTCCGATTGAGATCCACTTCTTGCTCCGCGTCCTGATTCTCATCTTCCTCGTTCGATACGCCGTCGTTTCTGTCGTCCTCGATCGCATCGTCGTGCTCGTCGATTCTATCCTCGCTTGAGGTACTGGATCCTCTTCCTCCTCCGGTTTCCACGACGTCAGAATCTGAGACGAGTAGGGAATCCGGGAACAAAACTGCGTCCTCGCCTGGACCGGAGCGGAGGTGGTTCGGCGAGTGAGAGGAGAAGAGTGAGAGACGCGTGTAGAGAAGAGAGACGGAAGCGAGAAGGAGGACGGCAGACATAACGGCGCAAGCCTGTGCGCCGTGACGGGAACGAGAACGCCGTGATCTCAACATCGGATGATTCTCCTCCGTCGGGAATCTAACGGCGATCCTTCCTACCGAACGAGAAAGAGTGTCAGTTTCCGACCCAATTAAAATGAAATAAACAAATTAATTAATTATTTGGTCCAAAATATATAAATAAATCGGAAATTCCAAATTATATAATAAGATTTTCATTTTGTTGCTTGTTCTCACGAAAACTACTGATTTTTAGGAACCTCTCTTGCCCTCTACGACATTTCATATTAGTCTTGGCATAGGTCATGTTAACATTTTACAAAATGTGAGAGCTTGCACATCAAGTTAAATAATAGATTAATTAGTTTCTAAGTAGATAAAAAAAATAGATTATGATTAAGCTAAACAGAGAGACGCCCACAAATCCATCATCTTCACTCTTCAGCGAGTTTCCTCTTTGGGTTTTGTGACAACGAGAAGCAGCTCGTAGGGTTTGATGAATGTAAATGTGCATATATCCCCAACGGCTAAAGGATACTCCCTGAACAAAGCAGACCATCCAGCAGAAAAGCATGGATTCCAGTAACCATTTGGATCGATCCTCGGCAAGTAACCCACACTCCACGACTTCTTCTCATCCGGATGATGTATCGTGAACGTTGCATTCGTCGCCGGCATATGATCCTTTGCAAAAGCTTTCTTGATCGCCTCAAAATCCAAACAAAACAAAGGAACAAAATTGTTTTGATTCACTCACACTTTTGGTTTTGGAGTAAAAAAGAAAGCCCCAAAAACATGTTTTGTTGGTTTCCTCATCTTACCAGGAGACTCAGGTATGAACTTTTGATGACAGCGGTGAATACTACACCAGTAGACGAAGAGGGGACTCCAGAATCTCTCGGGACACTGACCACAGCATTCTCGAGCTTCCTCTTGTTCTTTCTTCCTCAGCTTCTTTGTTTACATCTTTGGAGACACCCTCCCTTTGTTCTTCTGTCCTGTTACGACCTGTTTCATCTTCATGAGTATAAGTATCAATGTCTCTTTATCCAGCTAAGTTCACTGATTCATCATCACAAAAGCATATCTTACTCTTAGTAAAAGAAGCAAACAAGGCTGTGGGTTGAGGAGGTTGGAGTATCTCCTTGAAGATCTTCACAGTGAAACACATGGCTCCTTTGTGAGTGAATGTCAGTAAATCACCGTCTCCCAAAGAGTTGTCCCTCAGAAACCGGTTCCATCCAGCCTTCTCCATGTAGAAGAATCCTGGGTTTTTGCAGATTTCTACTTCCCAAGTGGCTCCCCACTTTGCAGTTATCTTCATCTTGCCAAGGAGCTCACTGTCGGAGAATCTTCTCACAAAGTCTAGAGGAATTGCTCTCTGCTTATACGGACGAGATTAAGAGGGAGAAGGATGGAATTAATATAGATCAGGCATCGCGAATGCAAATGTTTTCAATTACAGTGAAAATCAGTGAGCATTTTGACATATCCATCAAGCATTTGAGTCCAAAGTTTTAAACTTCACCATGAAATTAGTCCTATCACACACAAATGAGAAACTCCAACACAGCATTGAAAAAAGAACGAAGGACAGATCTTGTTCAGACAGAGAAAGCTAACAAAATCCATGTTCTTGTTGTTAAGACCGGGGAAAACAACAAAAGTTCATGAAAGATAAAAAAAAAACAGTGAGTTCTTTTGAGACCCATAACAACAAGATTCCACCTTTTAAAACAAATTCAGCAAGATTCATCTTGTCAAACACAGGACTAAAAGATTAAAAAAGTTCATGAAAGAGAGAAAAATCAGCAAGTCCTTTGAGATCTATAAAGACAGAACCACGAGATTCGACCTTTCTAAACAAGTTTAACAAGAAATAGGTAACATAAGAACATAAATAGTGAGTTACCATGTTATCAGAAGACATGTCACCAATCTGGATTAGTTTAATGAAACTTTCCTCCTCGATACCCATTGACAAAACCTTGTGCCTCTAAGTTCAACCTTTTCCTTCCTTTAAGCTCAACCTCTTTCTTCCTTCAACTTACTCGTCTCTCTTTCTGTCTCTCTCACTTAGTCTCTTTCTAACTATCGCTGTTAGAAAATTGAAAGACGAAAGTAAAAGCATGTCAGAAACAAAAAATGGGTACACGCAAAAAGCAGTCTTTTTAATTCTACAGTCCAGAATAAGTTTGCAGATTCTAGATTCACCTAAGTATCAATATGTAAAATACGAGCCAAGAGAGCGTTGGAAACTATCCAGAAGCTGCAACGACCAAATGCATGAGAACTTATACGCATTTCATCGAACAAGTGGTCAACACAGCCAAGAGAGAGCAAAGCTTACACTATGCATTAAATATGAAAAAAAATCAAACTGGATTCTGACTTCGAAACGAAAATCTAGCAAGAGATTATTCAACTAGATAGAAATCCAGGTCAATAAACGAGAATGCGTTTGGAAAATAATTATAGAGATGGAGAGAACAGCAAAGGTAAAACTCCAAGCGGATTTGACTCACTAATAAAAGGCAAGATGAGAACAAAGCTCTAGAGAAGTCATGATACGACTGAGCGACGGTGATGCTATGGGTGACAGCGATGTTCAACGACGGTGACTGTGACGGCGTCCAGCAACAAAGGATAACTTGTTTTTTTCCGTGGTTTTTTTTTTTTTTTTTTACTCCTATCACCTGAAAATAGGAGTATTGGTTTTTAACCTTCAAGTCCTTTGAAATAAAACTAATTCGCAGAAAAGCCCACCTACTTTTTTAAAACTTACTATTTTACGCCAAGGTTTTCGGATACCCAAAAATTTCTATTTTAATCATTTCTATTTTGTATCCGCCACTTAACAGTCTGGATAATCTCCACTACAAGCAAGGAATCACAGCAGCAAAGCAAGTAGTGAAAGAAGTTAAACCAATCACAACCAATTCATTTCTCACATTCTTGATAACATGACGAATCGTTGTAAAGAATAGAATTGTCTCACATGTACTCTTGTGCGGTGAAACCAGTGTATGTGCATATAAAATTCACATTTCTCATCCAAAGCTCAGCAAAGGGATGATCAGTGATGCCACGAATCTTCAACGTTTCAAGAAAACACTCGCCGAATTTTCCGTTGAACATATTCACGTCGTCAGTCGATAACCTTGTAGAAGACAGGTATCAACAAGAGTTTTCCTTCCCTTCGTCGATCGTAGATCTTCACCGCTTCGTGCAGACACCACTCTGACTCTGCGTATCTCTCGGAGGATACCACTAACGCGACCGTTGACCTTTCGATCACTCTGAAAATATATTCCATGTCTCTTTTTCCTCTTCGCTCGTAGCTATCTATATGAAAACATTGACTTCCTTCTTAAAGGTTCCAGCCACATGTCTAACGAAGCCACCGCTCTCATCGCTTCCTCCATGATTGATAAACACCTGAGGTCGTGTTTGTGTAGCAATTGGTTTTAGGGTTTTTTGTTTCCCAAATAATTTTCCGACAATTCAAATATATATACAAAATTGTTTTGTTTCAATTTCCAAAATCAATACACTACTGATGTTTTCGAAACGTCTATCCGTCAATTTACTCTCTTTTCAAATAAAATACAAGTTATATTTTCAAAACTTCTCATTTAAAGCAAACTTCCAAACCAAGTAACCTTTTTTTGTCATATGACTTTTCATTTTTCCCAAGTTTAACAATACTAGTAATATTTTTCTGTTTGTTTAAAACTTGAAAAAAAAAAAACATTGATGTGAAAGCACTTTTTAAAAAATCTAAAGATTAAAATTGCAAAATTTCTCAATTACTTTTCAATTTCAACCAAGAGATGTGGAATGCAAGATGAGTGGTTCTGATTAATGAGACGAAGCCTAAAGGCGCAGCGTTGTTTCGTCACATCGTGTTTTTCTTCAATTATTTCCTTTCTCGACAAGTAGTAGTTTAACCGGACAAAGAGGCAAACGCTAAACTTATGAATGAATATAAAATTTTATATCTTATAAAGTGATGTAGTCAAAATCATTGCCGAATATTTCCTATGGTAGTACTGGATTTGTTACAGATGATGACTACCCTCATAGTATGGTGATTGTGGTGGTTCGAGTCTGTTTGGTTTTCAACATGAGTGATAATGGCATGTATGGGATAATGTTGTTATAATGAGTCATAACGCCAAGAGCTTTAGCATGATAAACATTGGGACATTCTTTCTCTCTCATTTTCACCTTCTACAAAGCAGAATCAAGACCATGTCAAACAAAAACATTGTAATTTGAATCTGAATTGATGGTATATGACTATATGAGTGATAATGGTGTGTATGGGAAGAGGTTCTTAAAATAAGTCATAGTATGAGAAGAATACACATGTACATTTTTCCTCCATTTTTGATGTGCTACAAACCAAAACCAAGTGTAAACCAAAACAATGTATAATCAATTTAAATATTATCGATTTAAGCATAATCTCGGCTCTATGTTCATTCTAGATTAAATGAGTAAACAAATAAGTTTAGATCCAAGTTTCATTCAAAATCTCATAATCGCTCACTATCAAGCCTTTTTAAGAGAAAATGTGATGGACTAGAAACTAACAGCAAGACATGAAGATTCAGAAACGTGTCTTTATCTACATAGATATAGAGTTTATACAACTCAAACAACCAACAAAAATCACATAATCAAAATATCTAAAATCAACATCTCAAAAGCATCTCGTAATAAAAACACAAAATCTATATTCAAATTAAAACTAAATCCAAGATGAATTCAAGAAATCAAAGCTCAAACTGATCAGTACATCCCGTGTGCAAAAATAAAAACTACAGAATGTGGAGAAGATGCATCATGTTTCATTGGGTTTTTTCAGCAACTTAAAACAGAAGCAAATGAGAGTTTGCAGAAACTGGCTCAGATTCCCTATTCTACTTGTTCATCCACACACATCGGATTCTCTAATCTACTTTTTCATCTAGATTCAATAAGCAGATTCAAACCACAAAAATTGCAATCAGGATTAAATCTATTCATCTACACAAATCATATAAAGATTCATCTACAAGGATCGAGTAATCATGACTGTATTCGACTTGTTGAAGAAGTTCAGACTACGCAGATTCAAAACAAAAATTACAATCAGGATTCAAATCGTTTAAGAGCCTCGAACCACATAAATCCGGGATTCATGTTCGATCGATTTGTGTTCAAAAGCATACGATCTTTTCTATTTGTTATAGACACAAGCCGAAACAAACTAATCAATTTCCAAAAAATAATGATTCTAAACGAATACATGATTTAATCAAAAAAGTGCTACATTCCGATCTAAATAGAATGTTCCAAAACACAATATATAATCATACAAGATAGAAATTCCATAAAATCAGAATTTTTTTCAATGACTAAATAGAAATTAAGTGAGATTTTGAATACCTTCTACAACAACTCATGGAGGAGAGGATTCAACTACGAGGCTCATCTTAGAGAAATTTGAAAATTTGAGTGAAATTTAAAAACCAGAGAAAATGAGAGAGAGGCAGAAGGAAATTTGGTGTTTTAACGAAACTGTAAAATAAATCAGTAATATATAAAAAAATGTACGTCATTATCTTGAATCATATGTTATTACAGCGGCTTCTACTTCTTCACACTTCACCAATCAACCCAGGCTCGAAGGCTGCAGCTGTTAAATGTTGTTTTCTTCTTGATATTCATTTTCCCCTTTTTTCATCTGATCCTTTTAGTATCTACAAAAATATTGCTTTCGAGAAATTGATGCTCAATTGACAAATATTCCCTTCTCTTTTATAAAACTTTTGTGTATGTTATCTTGAAACTATATTTCTTTATATCTTTTTTTAAACAGCTCATATTCGGTTCGATTTATTCTACATTGAATTTCAAAACCTGGCTTGAAAAAAATCCTCGTTCAAGATCAAATTTCATGCTCATGCAATCCAAATAAAAATAATGCAATCCGCAAATACCTTCTTAAACTAATTAATCTATTTGACTATTTATGTATATGATCTGTTCCACACAACGAAAGTTCCATGTCTCTCACAAAAGGTTTTTTTAACCACAACATATACCACAGAGAAATAGAGTATATTGACAAGTGAAGTCACGGACCGGTGAAACCCTTTGTCAAAAAAAAAAAAAAAAAAAAAAAAGTCACGGACCGGTCAAGCGGTCGGAGCCAAGAAGAGACTTCAATTAAGAGATAAGACGAAGGAGATGAAGCTTCCCTACAAAAGAATCCCCACACCATTACCTCTTTTTCAGGAGTAAAAGATACATTTGCTCAGCCCTTGAACCGCCTCTCCATATAGCCTGCTCCAGAACTAAACCGTTCAACATGCAGAACTAAACCGACCAATAATCCGGTTAACAGAACCGTGTCAAGCAAGAAAAGAACCTATCTTTCTAATACGTCTTAGAAGATGTTATGCTTTTTTACTTATTGTTGTATGTAGCATCATGTCGCTCTGCGAAGGGACCAGTTACAAGTATAACCACAAATTAAAAATTTAAATATATATAAAGATAAAAGATTACTAGATTCAAAAAATTTAAAATATAGTGCCTGTTAAGTTCTAGTTAAAGTTTATTCGGTTTAATCTATAATATTTTTTTAATTAAAAGTATTTGGCATGCATATTCAAGTTTACTCGGTTTTGGCTAAAATACATCGGTTCGATTCCTTCTATATTAAATTTTGGTACATAATAAATCTTGGCTTCAAGAATTCCACTTAGAGTCGGTTTCTTATAACCACGGTCAAGATAAACTTTTCATGTTCACACAGCAGACGAAATACAAAAATATGCAATCGGGTTTTACCAGAGCATCGATCCATTTGTTCCTTAACTTTCTTCTTGTCAAATCAGAAAGCTAGCTTCCCAGTGATCTACTTCAAGCCAATCATTGGCGCTGACATATACCAAAATCAACCCGAGCAATTGCGCTGAACTTGTTTAAATTGTTTACTGGGATCTAATTAGGCCTCCGGATTTGTAAACAAAAAAAAAACATTTTGTATCTATTTAATCCGAAATTGTTTAATTACTTATCATATTATTAATTGAGAAGCAAGTTGGGTTGTGGTTAAGAGTTATGATGGTTGATTACCTTTTGTCCATTATGTAAATTTACTTTAATTACTTTTAATAAAATTAACAAATTAATATAATCTAATTTTTAAATAATTTTCGTTTTTTTTTTAAATCTAAATTTCCAAATTTGACTTTATATCATAAAAATATCCAGTTTACTAAAAAAAATAACAAGCATAAAAAAATAAAAAATCTTAATTATTTTATTTAACTAATTTTAATTTGATTGTTTAACCTACTAATATTTTTGACTAATCCAATTGATTTATGCGACTACAAGTAAAACTCTAAATCATTTAAACCATTTTAAAGCTATATATATATATATATTAATTAATGTTAAGTTGATATGAAACAAGGATCTTTTGATTCTGGTCATTTTGGATTGCTATGTTTTTTTTATGCAAACATTGAATTTCATCAATCTTAATCTACCAATTTATATTAAAAGAAGATAATTATTTATCATGTTTGATAAATGCAATAAAACAAAAAAGCATATATAAGTTTTAATTGGATAATATAAAATATATTAGAAAATACGATATAAATAATATGTTTTGTTTTGTCACAAAAAATAATATACTCATAAAAATTATATTTTTTTAAAAAAATATATTAAGTTTGGTTTTGAATTATTATAAAATCTGATTTTTTATCTATAAATAAACTTATATTATATTTTTAAAAAAATTTAATCGAATTCTGCACAAAGTGCGGGGAACACCTAGTATAATATTAAAAAGATGTAATTTGTTAACATCTAAAAAATGGAAAACTAAGGTAGATAACGCATTTCCATCTGATTAAGGACAAATCGGATTATATAGGGTTTTGTTTCCCCCAAAGTTTGGGATCACAAGCTAAAAATATGGCTTTTTCTTTTGACCTAGCCGTCATCATCCAACGGGAGAGGAGAAGGAAGGTAATTAGAAGACGACGAAGAGAAGAAATATGCAAGAACCACCACGAAGCTACTCGAGAGGAGATTCCTTTTGATCTCGCGATAGAGATTCTCACGAGGCTGCCTCCTAAATCCCTTATGAGATTCAAATCAGTCTCAGAGCTCTGGTCATCCCTTATTCGTTCCCAATATTTCACCAACCGTTTCCTAAAAGCTTCATCATCGCCGCCACGCCTATATATGTGGCTGGGATTCGAGAACAGCGAAGTATTTCTATCATCGTCGGCTTCTCATTCTCCTGCCTCGGACGGTACTACAATGGCTTCCTTTGTAGTTGACCAGGATTGGAAAATCTCAGCGGTGGAAGACTACACCGCCTCTCATGTTTACCGCGGTTTGATGTGCTTTACAAGTGGCCCAAGTGCGAAGATATATAACATTACCACTAGGCAACTTGTCGTCTTACCCGACATAGAAGGATCCAACATCATACCTAGAGATCCCGAGATGATCATGTATCAAATAGGACACGACCCCGTTCATGATCGATATAAAGTTGTTTGCACAGTTTCAAGACGCGGCGACAGAGCTGGAGGGTTCTTAACGTTCCTGTCAGAGAGTTGGATCTTGCCACTAGGAGGAGGAGATGGATCAAGTCGATGGAGAAAGATTCCAAGCCGATGTCCACCGCATCTTCCTACAACACAAGGGCTGACTATCAATGGGCGTGTGCATTACCTCGCTTGGGGTAAAGTGCCTTATCAGGTGCTTGTCACTATCGATATTCATTCTGAAGAAATCAGTATCCTCGAAGTACCTCACTTTATACCATTCTTTAATAAGACTGGTCTTATAGAACACGGTGGAAGAGTAGCTCTTTTACACCATTGGGATCTTAAAGACAAATGTGAGATGGAACTATGGGTTATGGAAGATGAAGAGAAGAATACGTGGTCAAAGAAGACTCTGGTGTTGCACCCTTCTCAAATGCATATGGTCTGTACAACCACAAACGGTGAGGTTATCTTCGTGCCTGACAAAAGAACTTTTTCTTCTGGTGCGGGAAAGCATATGTTTAAACCTCAAAAGACAACGTCTTTCTACGTTTTTCTTTACAATCTACAAAAGAATCATATGACTAAAGTTGATATTATAGAATCATCAAACCGCTGTCATACCCAAACTTGGGACGTTATTGGATTTGATGATACTGAGAACTTAATGTATCTCTGACTCTAATCGCTTATGCGTTTTTTTTTTGTTTTGTTTGGAAACATTTTATTTTCATTTTGTTTGGATATTTGTTTTCTTCGTTATATATATGCATGCTACGTAGAGTACCAAAGTGTCATCACAGTAAAGGATATTTTCTTACTTTTCCATTAGCCATCATCAAATAAACTGGAAACGAATTTTAGTATATATATAAATTAATGAAAGAGGAGATCTATAAAAAATCTCGTACCCTCCAAATGATCGATGAGCTTTTCATATTGCGCGTTAAGATGTTCTTCCAGGTTTCAAGATCAGCCTGTATTGTACCTAAACCTTTGCATCCACGCCAAGTAATGGGTTCGGTGGGCTCCACAGCAAACAATAACATAAGATCTACTAATTCATTCGAGCTAGACAGCTCCCCCACTTTAGCAAAAGGGTTTAGAATAACACGAAAGATGTAGATAACTAAAGCAACAAAAACTCTACTACAAGTTCCCCTAAAATCGATAGGTTTGCTGAAGAAAATGGTCTAGCTGTCTCATACTCGCCTTCACAATCTCCTCCACAAGTTTGCTATCAATGCTGTTCCATCAAAACCAAATACATTTTCAACCAAACCGATCTTAACCAACCACACCTTTTCTTAGCTAGACCGATCAGAACATGATCCCTTATTTCCTTTTTAAGCTAAACCGATCATATAACCACTACATTTTTTCAGATCCTACTTTGTCTAGTTGGATGAATCGCAGCAAATTTTCCAAAATCGATAAAATCTGAAAAAGAATTAATACCTGTGGACTTCTGAAGTTAAACCAGTGATGGAGGCAATAGACGTGACAGCAATCATCCAACGCTGAGGCTGAGCCAAAGGAGCCTCATCAGTACCAAACCTGCTCATAGTTTAAAGGGACAAACACTAGTATATATAAGACTTGGGCCAATCCACTCATTGCCAATTGGTTTTGAGTTGGAAGTCCATATAACTTAACATGGTATCAGAGCCATCATCTCGAGGGGCTGATAAGAGCCATCATCTCGAGAGAGCGTGTTGGAATCCCACATCGGAAGTTTAAAGGGACCAACATTAGTATATATAAGACTTAGGCCAATCCACTCGTTGCCAATTGGTTGTGAGTTGGAAGCCCATATAACTTAACATGGTATCAGAGCCTTGTTTGTTAACCCAAGTAGGGTGACCCAAAAAGGGTTTATTACTGGTCCTAAAGTGGAATTCAATTCGAGATGGGCTGATAAGAGCCATCATCTCGAGGGGGCGTGTTGGAATCCCACATCGAAAGTTTAAAGGGACAAACACTAGTATATATAAGATTTGGGCCAATCTACTCATTATCAATTGGTTTTGAGTTGGAAGCCCATATAACTTAACACTCATCACCGTTTCCCTAAAACGTCTCCCTAATTTCCCTTGGAATCTTTTCACATTACCTGTGCTTACTCTATAGAAGATAGGGATTACCACAAGCTTCCCTTCCTTCATCCGATCATCCATCCTCACTAGCTCGTTCAAGCACCAATTTGACTCCGTGTACCTGTCCGAGAATATCGCGAGCGCCATCTGGGACTTGTCAATCCTCTCCAAGAGGTGCTCGAATGTCTCCACTCCTCTCGTCTCCAAGCTATCTATGAAAACGTTGATCCCCACGTCTTTCAAGGCCTTCACTACATGACTCACAAAGCCGTTCCGAAGCTCATTTCCGCGGAAATTTACAAAGACTTGAGGGCGTGGTTGGACCGTTGGAGTAAGCGCTCAATGGTGCCGAGCTCTGGCTCATAGTCAGAGGAGGCTGGTTGTGGTTCAGCCGGCGTATCCATGGATTTAGACACATACCAAAAAAAAACAACAGAAATGTTTTGGTGGTTGGTGAAGACGCCTGCGGCAAGAAAGTCATACATAAAGGGGTTTTATTATTAAAAAAAAAAATAACAAAAATGTTTGGTAATTTGCGAAGAAGGGCAGACCCACTAAGAAGATAGTGGATAGTGGAGTCAGGTAATGCCGGTAACATTTAAATAGATTTTAGTGTATCTAAATGTTTATGGGACCAGCAGCCAAGCTTTTTTGGGTTTATTACGATATCTTAGGATATATGTACAATATGTTAATGTACATATTGAGTTTCTATATTTTATATTTTACATATTTGTATAGATTTAATTAAGAAGAACTTTGTATATACTCGGTCGTCTTAGATTCAATACAAAAAACCAGTATACACTTATTGTTTTTTTACATGGTATCAAACCTCTGCTAGGATTTCTATTCTTTTAGGACGACGGATCATCATTCTTCTTTGAGACTTCTTCAGTTATTTCCTTTCTCAACAAGTAGTTGTTTAACCGGACAAAGAGGCAAAAGCTATTATGAATGAAAATAAAAATTTATATCTTAAAGTGATGTGGTCAAAGTCATTGCCGAATATTTCCTCCGGTAGTACTGGCTTCGTTACAAATGCTGACTACCCTCATAGTAGGTGATTGTGTAGGTGATTGTGGTGGTTCAAGTCTGTTTGATTTTCAACATGAGTGATAATGACATGTATGGGAAAAGGTTCATAGGGACATTCTTTCTCTCTTTTTCACCTTCTACAAAGCAGAATCAAGACCATGTCAAACAAAAACATTGTAATCTGAATTGATGGTATATGACTATATGAGTGATAATGGTGTGTATGGGAAGAGGTTCTTACCGTAAGTCATAGCACCAAAGGGCTTCAGCATGAGAAGAAAACACATGGACATTTTTCCTCCATTTTCGATGTGCTACAAACCAAAACCAAGAACATGTAAACCAAAACAATGTATAATCAGTTAAATATTATTTACTTAAGCATAATCTCGGCTCTATTTTCATTCCAGATTAAATGAGTTTCATTCAAACTTTCATAATCGCTCACCATCAAGATTTTTTAAGAGAGAATACGATGAACTAGAAACTAACAGCAATACATGAAGATTCAAAAACGTGTACATAGATATAAAGCTTATACAACTCGAACAACCAACAAAACCCACATAATCAAAATGTTTAAAATCAACATCTCAAAGCATCTCATAATCAAAAGACAAAATCTTTATTTAAATTAAAACTAAATCCAAGATGAATTCAAGAAATCAAAGTCAAAATGATCAGCACATCCCTTGTGCAAAATAAAAACTAGAGAATGTGGAGAAGATGCATCATGTTTCAGAAGTGCGAATTGTATAGTGTATAGTTTGTTTCAGAAGTGACACTAATGAATTTTGGAATCTGATGCCGTAAATTTTGGACGAGCTAGGAAAAAGGTCAAAGATTCAGTGTGCTTCTTGCATTTGAATTGGGTATCAACTATATAATGACCACTCTTTTTTAACTTTTCATGTATGGCAACGTATATATACTCAAACATGGTTCATTGCTTAACACACAGAAGTAAAAGAGAGAGAGTTTTTTGAAAGTTTAGGGATGATGCACAATCTACATTAAGTGTATCATGCTCATGCCCATAGTCTAGGTATGCTTTGTACTCTTTCTACTGCTTGCAAGTAGGATTATCAACATCATCAAAAAGAGGTTCGAAAGGATTGACTGGTTTGTTGGAGTAGTCTTTTGCAGAAACAAGTAAGATGCAAAATAGAGTTGGGAAATATTTAGAAGATACAAAGATTCATAGCTTCTTTTCCATTGTTTTTTTAAATAAATGTAAGATTTCAAAAAAAATTAACTAATGCTAATATACCAAATATTCAAAAATCTTAACTTTAATATGCCAAATAAGTGATGCTAAACATCAGTGTTTTCGTAGAGCAAGAGTTGTTCAAAGTTTCAAAAAAAATCAATCAATTCAACAATTAACTAGATGGATTCAATACATTCTATTGTAAATCAAGTAACGTATTTGTCAATTCTGGTCTTTCATGGAGTTATTTATTATCACATGATGACATGATGTAAGAACACCCCTATCAATGAGATACGAGTATCTAAAATTAGAAAACAATTAATTTTTTGATTTTATTGTTTTATGTAATTTTTTTTTATTTTAGAAAAAAATTGAATCAATGAAAAATGGTAATAATTGAGAAATGGTTTTCAATATCTCTCAAATGAGATACGTTTTTTATTTTTCTCTCTTGTTTTTTTTTTTTTTTTAATGATTTCTTAATTTGGAGCTTACGAGGAAGCCATCTCCTTCTTCCTCTTTTCCTCTGTGTTGAAAAGCTCTCAAGATTCGATCAATTCGTCAAAACTCGACTTGTTTCAAACTCCACTCCTTCTATACTAATCTCTGACTTGTACAAATCCCTTAATCCGCCATGGATCTTGCCCCAGAAGAGCCCCAATTCCTCAGCATTAGAGGGATTTTACGTGAATCAACCTCGATCCCCAAATTTTCCCCCAAAACCTTCTACCTCATAACCCTAACCCTAATATTCCCTCTCTCCTTCGCGATCCTCGCACATTCTCTCTTCACGCAACCGATCTTAGCTCAGATCGACACGTACCCTCCCGCCGATCAAGCTCAGACCCAACACGAATGGACCGTCCTCCTCGTCTTCCAATTCTGCTACGTCATCTTCCTCTTCGCCTTCTCCCTCCTCTCCACAGCCGCCGTAGTCTTCACCGTCGCCTCTCTCTACACCGGAAAGCCCGTCTCTTTCTCCTCCACCATGTCAGCGATTCCCCTCGTCCTCAAACGATTGTTCATCACTTTCCTCTGGGTTTCCCTCTTGATGCTCGTTTACAACACCGTGTTCTTGATCTTCTTGGTCGCATTGATCGTAGCCATCGATTTACAGAACGTAGTCTTAGCTGTCTTCTTGTTGCTAGTCATCTTCGTTCTGTTCTTAGGCGTTCATGTCTATATGACAGCTCTGTGGCATTTAGCTAGCGTGATCTCTGTTCTTGAGCCTATCTACGGTTTCGCTGCGATGAAGAAGAGCTACGAGTTGCTTAAAGGGAAAGCCTTTATGGCTTGTTCGATGGTTTTCATCTATCTCGCTCACTGTGGATT